TCCCTCTGTAGAATCCAAAACTTCTTTAGCTAGAAGTTCTGAACTCCATCTGGTCCAGGAGATTCTTCTTGGCTTGGGTAGGATTTATTTACATTTTCTACAGTGGAATTAAGTTTCCTATAGAAAGCCTTCTCTGCATGATCAAAAAGTATATTGCCACATTTCCGGTTGTTACTAACTTTATATCTCCTTAAGCAACCTGGATAAATGGAGAGTTTTTGTTTTAATGTATCCATGCAGTGTTGAGCTGTATTTGTTTCTGGATCATGTTGTGATTGTCTTCGAGTATTCAGAATTATTTCTGCAGCTCTTTTAAATACTTTACTACTACTACTTATAATTATTATCCAGATTTAGCCATATGGCTCACACTCATCCAAAGGGAAAAAATCACTCATCTCAGATACCTACGGTATCAAAAGGATTAAGCTCTGGTGGGATCCTTTAAGCTCTGGGCGGGGAAGTCCTCAACCCCGATACGGCGCGTCCCAATGGCTGATAGGAGAGTTCCTGTAGATATACAGGGCAGGTACGAATAAGGCTTAGCCAAATAAGTACCCGCGGATCAACTGAGGACATGACATTAGGCAGCAGTAATGTCATTACTGGATTAAGGCTGTGGGAAAATAAAAAAAATCCTGTAGGCTTAATTCTAGATACTCACAGGCGCCACTCACATTATGAGTCAATCGGTTGTGACACTGCGATGGGGAAGGCAACGGGAAACCACCCCATAAATAGTCCCTAGTTCATTCATCATGGTTAATGTAAACCAATTTGGAGAAGGTACTGATCATGGACTTCGGATACCAAGATCCGGCAGGGGAGGAAGAACACAAAAATGTAAGGCTTCCCAGGTCGTCAACCCACGAAATCCTTACCAATATTTAAACACTAATAAAGATAAAGTGTGCACGTGGAACGTTAAAAAATCTGTACTTGGAATGTTCGAAGTATGTTTGAAGGGGGAAAGATACACAACACCATTCAAGAAATGAAAAGACTAAATATCGACGTGATGGGAATCAGCGAGATGAGATGGCCAGGCTCGGGACAGTGCTGTGTGGATGAACATATGGTATACTATGCGGGAAACGACAAACCACATCACTGGAATGGCGTAGCGGTGATTCTGAGCAAAAAGGTCGCTGGGGCTGTGATCAGCGTGCTACCTCTCTCTGACAGGGTCATTCTGATGAAGCTGCAAAGCAGACCCGTTAATACGAACATCATTCAAATTTACGCTCCAACATCAGAAAAACCAGAAGAGGATATCGAGGAGTTCTACGCAATTGTACAAAAAGCACTAAAATACACCAAGAAGAACGAGCTAACCATCATCATGGGTGATTTCAATGCCAAAGTTGGCAAAAGCAGTGTAGAAGACATCGTCGGACAACACGGCTTAGGCGAGAAAAACGAAAGAGGAGACCGACTCATACAATTTTGCCGGGAAGAAGATTTTACCATTGCTAACACGTGGTTTAAACTTCCCCGAGACGACTTTATACGTGGAAGTCACCTGCAGATACAGCCAGCAATATCATCAGAAACCAGATAGACTTTATTCTCATTAACAAAAGATTCAAGAACAGCTTGACTTCGGCGAAGACCTTCCCAGGAGCAGACGTCTCATCGGACCACAACCCATTAGTGGGCCAGATAGAACTCAAACTAAAGAAACTCATCAAAAATAAACCTAAACAGAACCTGGATTATGACACTCTAAAAGACCCCGTAGTTCGTCAGAACGTGAGAGATACAATGAGACAAAAACTAGAAACGGCTCAACAACAAGAACAGAGTGTAGAACAAAAATGGAGTTATATCAAAGACGTCATGCTGAATGCGGGAAAAGAACATCTGGGAAAGAAAAAAAGAGTAAAAAATAAAGAATGGATGACTGATGACATTCTGCAGATGATGGAACAAAGAAGATTAATGAAAAACAGGGACGCGAAGAAATACCAAGAAACCAACCAGACAATTAAAAAAGAAATACGAAGAGCCAAGGAGACATGGATGCAAGAAAAATGTAAACTAATCGAGGAGCTCCAAGAGAAACACGATCATATAAATATCCACCGAAAGATTCGTGAAGCCACTGGTCAATACAAGAGGAGAAACACACACCTCCTCATAAATAAAGACCTTCCGGAAATAAATTGCATGACAGGGCCGTCAATTCTAGAAAGCGAGGTAAAGGCTGCTTTAAAACAGTCTAAGAATGGTAAGGCTACAGGTCCGGACGAAATACCCGTTGAACTTATTAAGGTGATGAGTGAAGTGAGCACGAAGGAGTTAACTGAACTGTTCAACGCCATATACGATTCAGGTAATATCCCAGAGGAATGGCTATTGTCAACATTTGTAACGCTACCAAAAAAACGATCTGCGAAAACGTGCGAAGATTTCCGAACTATCAGTCTTATGAGTCATGCACTTAAAATTTTTCTTAAAATCATACATGCCAGAATTTACAAGAAATGCGAAGAAAATGTCGGTGAAATGCAATTCGGATTCCGCAATTCCATGGGTACACGTGAAGCACTTTTCACCTTACAAGTCCTACTTCAGAGATGCCGCGATGTCAGTTGTGATGTCTATATTTGTTTTATTGACTACGCCAAGGCATTTGACCGTTGTCAGCACCAGAAGATGGTCACCGCCCTACAAAGAGTAGGATTGGATGAGAAGGACATTCGGATCATCATGAATTTATACTGGAACCAGCGTGCTCAAGTCAAGGTCGAAGACCAGCTGACCGACCAAGTGAAGATCATGCGAGGAGTAAGGCAAGGATGTGTGCTATCGCCGACTCTTTTCAATATATACTCTGAGGAGATTTTTACTGAAGCCCTCACAAACCTAGAGATGGGAATCCGAGTGAACGGTGAATACATCAATAATATCCGCTACGCCGATGACACTGTGTTACTAGCAACCAGCCTAAACGAGCCTAAGAAAACTAAATTCATGGTTGTCAGCCGTACAAATTTAGATCCCGGGGCACTAATGGCAGGTAGCGAAGAGATCCAGAGAGTCGACAGATTCACTTAACTCGGAACTACCCTCAACTCACAATTGGACTACGCTCAAGAGATTAGATCCAGAATTGAAATGGCACGGTCTACATTTATTAAATCAATATAAGGTTGAATGTTCGAATAATTGAACTTTGATGGTATACAAGGCAAATATCGAACACAGTAATAATTAAATCTTGCCCAAGTACTTTCGATCAATAGATCATCTTTAGGGACAAAAAACGTTTTTTTATAAAAAGGGAAATTAATTCACTTCGATAAAAAACTCTAAAAAAGTTTATAGTTGAAAAAAGTTTTTATGTGATAAACGTTTATAGACTTACTTCGTCAGTTGTGGCCTATCCGACATGAGCAGAATGTGTATTGTATTGTTATGTCCAAATTTACATGTATGACATTTATGACGTTTTATGAGTTTTATGAGTATGAATTTTATGAGTTTATCACAATTTCATCACAGCCAACTACCACTAGTTCTAGATAATATTTATAACTTTCAGATATAAAGTTATCCACTAGAGCCGATCTAGAAAGGACTACTGTGTGACCTAAAAATATGAAACTAATGAAATATGCTCTTCGATTACGGTTCTTCTGTGACTCTGTGAGGGTTGCCTTCAATATTTTCGATAGCGAAGGTTTTATCTTTCCTTCCGTTAAAGTATATGGCTTTTAAAGTTTCTAAGGAGTTTTGCATAAAAGCTTTTCTTGATTGCTTTTTTCAGTTTACTTCTGTCTATTACGTTTTTTGTATTAGCGTTGGTAACAATTCCAAGGTCGTTTAGTGCTGCCGTTGCAATAGCTGCTGCAGATCGGTCCAATAGTCCATAGCCGTCACAGACTTGGCCAAGGTGGGAAGTTTAAAATAAATTTGTGTACACTGTATTTCTGTATTGATACTGTCATGCAAAGTGAAAGGAATTTCATCATGTATTTCTATATCATTTTCTAGCTTCCGCTTTCTTGATGAGTTAATGTTGCTTTCATGTTGAATGGATTGTTGTAGACTTTTCTTTGCATCTCTTTTTGTCACTCTTCTGGCCTTATTTGCCAGCTTTGAAGTTTCCTTTACATTGATATTTCCAATAATCATTTTTAAAGATCCCTTTTGATCTAGTAAAAAACCCCGTTCATTTTTCTTCTTCTTTCCTTCTAAAACCTTCTTTCCTTATCGCAAGAATATTGTTTAAAAATTTCGCATTTGCAGTGCTGATATCAAACAGACGAGTGTTGTTGGTTTGAAGTCCCTGGACACGTATTGTGTAACTGTCATTGTTCTTAACTTCCGGATACCTCAAAAGTGTCAAATACTTATCATGATGAGTTTTTATTAATTATTGTATAACACGTTTTATTGTTATGGTAGGAATTGAAGCTTTTTTGCCACACATTTACAATTTTGTTAGACAGTACGTTAGATATCTTAAAAATCGTTGGTCTCTTTAGAGATTTTAAATTTTACCTTGTTCATATAACTGTAAAACATCAGCTTTCGAAGAAAGTAAGTTACCTTTAAAATCTGCAGAAACACCAATTAACGGACACTCAATATAGTGCCTAGTATAACGTATCTTTGAAGAACTCATATTTTAGGACACGATCGCCGAAAACCACAAAACTTTTCAATGTTCATGACTAATAGCAAACTAATGTACGTAGCGTGCGGGGAATAACAAACAGTATCTACTGAAATTCGCGCCCCCCCCTCCCGCAGACGGAACGGATCAAGCCAGGACTGGGCTTTTCTTAATAATTCCAACATTTTTTTTTCGTTTTTCAAAATCCGTAGAGGGCAGAAGATGTAATTTTATCAAAAAGTCGTAATAATACTTTCTTATTACCGTTACTAAAGGTACCTTTTAGTGGGTATTCCAAATCAATTTGTCAATTTTTTTTAATTTTGCGATTATCACTCCACCCTAATATAAATCAATAAAACGATTTTTCTTTCAGATAATGGATTTTAAAACACAAGGAATAAGATATGAAAAGACAAAGGAGGTTTTGATAACTGAAACCGAACTAGGTGTTGGAGCACATGGACAGAAAACATTATTCATTACTTTTAAAATTCCTCAATCGATTGTCATACAAAATTTAGTTAAATGTAATTTAATAAAAGAGTCATTTAGGTTACGAGTAAGTACGTCTGAAGGTGGAATTTCTATAATGATTGAAACGGCTACATAAATGAGTACGAGTGGCTGTACTGTAAATGAAAATAAGCAATTATACTTAGGTACCATAAAATTATATAATATGTAATACAAGTAATGTATTTATCCGTATAATCGCATAACTTGTTTCAGTCGTTACATAAAAATTCCACTTCTACATTTAAAATATTACCAAGAAAACTTAACATTAAATACTATATTATTTCAGGTTGAGGCTGGTCTCCCTTTGCTTCATCGGAATCTTGTCATTGATACATTTATAAAGTTAGGACATGTTGCATTGAATGCTACAACAAACTTAGGTAGTATTTTTTCTTTTATTTTTATTTAAAAAATCCGACAGCTTACAAATGAGTGGCAAAGATGTCTAACCCCAAAAATTTCTTTTACTGAATTAGGCTTAATAAGTGCTTATAATTTTGCTTGCGGCAAAACTGACTAATCAAAAAAAAAAACATGGCAGATGAAAACACAAGGAACGCATCGGAACCTTTCAGATTCGATTTCACCGATTATATACCAGGGTGAGTCATGAGGAACTTTACATACTTCTACCATATGTAGAGTCCCTCAGGGAGCATATCATGTGGCCACTAAAAAATGTCAACTCCTCTTCTTTATTAATTAACAGGGTGATTTGTGTAATTGACCATTTATTTCATTTTACTGTAGTGTTTATACGGCTCATTTGATTTTTTAATTTTTGCATGATACAGTACACTACTATCAAGCATTCGACTGGTATTAGCTAAACTAAAAAATTCCAGGACTGGCTTTGGAAAAATTAATTTAGGGATTCGTATTAAATATTACACCCTGTATATATATTTTTTTAAATGCAATAAGTGATTTTCAAACTACATAAATAGCCAATGAAAACGACATATGCGACAATGTTGTCGCACTTTTATTAAATTTTTAGTGAACGATCAAATCTTACCAAAAATAGAACAACCATAATGAAGTATCAAATTATAAGGTAATTAATTTAAACAAATGTTATAAATTTCAAACATTTTAATTGAAATGATAAACTGAGTCACTGCACAACAAAAAACAGTAACTACTAACAATAACGAAGAACAATTTAAAAAAAAAACTAAAAATATGTACATAGTTATGATAAACCCATAAATTAGAACTGGAAAAGATACAATAATGGTAACAAAATAAAAATAATTCAAAATAGATTTTCGAAATGGAACCCTGCAGCCTGTACACATTTTTGTTGCCGAATTGTTAATTGACGTATTGAATTACGGATACTCTGGGGATCGTTTCTAATAGTATTACAACAATGTATAATTCTATCAATTAATTGTTGTCGGTTATTAATAAAGCTCGGATTTATAGGCAACAAAAATTGAAGAAAAAGGCGCCTATATAGGCAAAGATTTTTATTAAAAAAGGCAGGAATATTAACATTTAGGCAAAATATAGGCAATAAAGGAATATAACTTATTATTTATTGTACAAAGTAAATTAACGTAATATTAACTTAAGGCAAGTATATTTACACATCATAATCATAACATTAGTATAAATAAACTAGTAACTAAATAACTGTTAATTAATAATTAAACATTGTAACCACTTAAAATTTTATCATTAATAGAAACAACTAAATGTTTTTCAATATTTTCGGTCTTAAAACTATGTCTTCGATCACTTAAAATTAATTTGTACATTGAAAACGAACGTTCGACATCGACAGATGTAATTGGAGCATATTTCAGAGCGGATAATAAATCTGGCATAATTTGAAATTCCTCGGAAAATGTCCCATTCAAAACTTTAGCAACATTAGATAAAAACGAAAAACCTTCATTCTTGTCGAAAACATATTTCATTTTTTTAAAAATTAATTGACCGTTACTTCCAGGTGCCGATTTAATTTTCGTCTTTAAATTATCTATTAATTTTACTGACTCACATAAATTTATCTCTTGTTTTTCTAATAAGGTAATTGTGGTAACTATTAATTTATAATTGTCATTGATATAACCGAGTTCCTGTTTCAATTTGGGATTTTTTAATATTTTTTTTGCTTCTCGAATGGCTTCGGAAATATCATCATCAAATTCTGACATAACTAATTCTATTTCATTGCAGTGTTCAAAGTAAAAAAAGACTGCTTCGAGCCAGGTTCCCCACCTTGTAATTACTGGTTTAGGTGGCAAAGGGACACCGGGAAGTCTTTCTTTATATATTTGCACCCTCAACGGAGCCTTTACAAAAACTTTTTTCATAAAATTTATAAAATTATTTACCAACGGAAACAGATTTCTTATTTCTTCAGCAATTCTATTTACCCCGTGGGCTACACAAGTGCAATGAATTAAATTAGGATAAAAAATTTTTAAATTAACAGCAGCTTTTAACATATATGCCGCAGCATCTGAAAGCATTAAAACTATTTTATTCACTGGTATAGCGTTGGGTAAAAAGAGGTTTGTTAAACTATCTTGTATAAATCGACTTATTGTTAAATTGTTTGTTTTTTCCAATTCTTTAACGGCAACTAAATAAGGTTTTCTCGCAAAGTTTTCGTTCAAAATTCCAATCATTAAATTAGCTATATACCTGCCGCATACATCTGTCGTTTCATCCACGATAATATACAAAAAATTGCCCTCCAACTCGTGCTTAATTTTTGAAATACATTCCACATAACATTTTTCCACAGTATGTTTTCTCAATGTACTCTCGTCCGGTAAGGATTTATTAAGATATTTTTCAAAAAAGCGTTTAAAACTAGGGTTATTAACTTTATATAGAGGAATGTTGGATGCAATCATCATCTGGCATAAATCAAATTTAAATGCGTCTTCCTCCTTTTTTTTTGAACTGCTTAAACTATCCCGCAGAGATGTTTGGGCTAACTTAGAGGAATTTAATTTTTCCAAATTACGTTTATGAAGTGGGGTTCCACAATGCTGGTCAATAAAGTACTTTTTTCTACTTGAAATCTGAGAATTAAAAAAAAATAATTAGAATTCTAAAACCGCTTTAGAATTTAGTTATGTTGTGGGACGAGAAAAAAAGAAAAAAAAAATAAAACTTACCGATTTGCCGCATGGTTTACAAAATGCTCCATCTCCTTCTAGAGAAAGTTCCGAATAAGGTGCGATCCATAGCCTTAATTTAGATGTCATCTTTTCACACAACTGTCTTGAACGTTTTAAAACGTGTTCTTTGCTTTTCGGTATACGCAACAAAACTAAACTAGGATATAGCAATTTGCTAATTTGTGAGTAAACTCTGATACAGTAACCGACTGTACAACTGATAATAAACTAATAAAGCTTAGGGATTTCCAAATAGTTAACCCTCAAGTCTCGATCAGGTACATTTTCCTAGAAATCTATTATATAAACAAACCATTGATATTTTATTATTGACCCAAAATTTTATTATAGAATGGTTTAGTAATAGAATAATATCATGGGTAGTACCATGAAATTTTAAAAAAGGCACAAATAGGCGGAATTTACGAAAAAAGGCAAAAAGTGCAAAAAACACTTATAATAGGCAAAATAGGCAAAAAAAGGCATTTTGCCTATAATCCGAGCTTTAGTTATTAATATTCACTGCGAAAACTAACTAGTTGCTTCAATCGTCCCCAAATATGGTAATCAACGGGATTGAAATCAGGGGATCGTGAAGGCCACGAAATAGGACCTGCACGTCCTATCCACCTGTTGCCATAAACATTATTGAGATGTTGTCTCACTGCCAGTAAAAAGTGTGGGGTGCCCCATCATGCTGAAAATACATCCCTCGGATAGCAACGTTCGCGTTGGCAAGCAAATTCGGCAAAATATTTTGTAGAAAGTTCAAATAGACCTGCCCTGTTAAAGGACCATCAAAAAGTGAGGACCTACTAATTGGTTATTTATGACACCAATCCACACGTTAACCGAAAACCTTAACTGAGAACGACGTTCTCGAATAGCATGGGGATTTTCTTCTGCCCACACATGTGAATTTCGTGAATTATTTATCCCGTCTCTGGTAAATTGGGCTTCATCTGTAAATAGTGTCCTGTATAGCGTTGGTCGATTATTGTTAATCCATCTACAAAATTCCAACCTATCGATCTCATCTCCAGCATGTAGTCGCTGAACCATTTGAATGTGATATGGGTATAGATTATTTTTTTGTAAGACTCTACTTACTTTTGATTGAGTAACATTGAGTTCTCGACTTACTTGTCTAGTGCTTATTGTAGGGTTCATAGTAACGGCGTCCATAATGTCATCTTCCTGCGCTTCATCTACATGTCGCTCTGTTGTTCCACTAGGAAAAGTGCCATTTTCTCGCAAATAATTAAAAACTGACCCAAATGTTGGATGACTGGGAGTTCGACGATTAGGAAATCTCCTGCGATATTCTCTACTAGCAGCCCTACCATTCCCATTACAGAATCCATAAACAAATATTATGTCTGCATATTCTGTGGTCGAAAACTGATGTGGCATTTTGAACGAAAGTAACAAAAGCTCTACCAAAACTAACACAATGTACTTAACGTAGATATGACAGAAGAAATATGTATTCTTGTACACATAAATAACAATTGATAATGACAATAATGACAATGGGTATAAAATATCAAGAAACGTCAAACGGTCAACGCCAACCTTCATTTTAAACTTTTTTAGATTTATTTTTATTTAGTACAGTTGATGCAATGTATTATTATTTGACATAAAATTTTAATCATTTACAATCAACAAAAACTAACACATACAAGAGGTTTGACTTTTTAATCAATTTAATTTATTATTTATCGAAAATAATGCCCCAATACGATCTATGAGTAAAAATTTAAAATTGAAAAACAATTGATTCTATCGTAGAGATAATACAAAGTGACAGTAAAGATGTTAATTTTCTACGTATTAGATTATGTTGTAGGAACTCATTTTAATTAAAATGTTTGAAATTTATAACATTTGTTTAAATTAATACCTTATAATTTGATACTTCATTATGGTTGTTCTATTTTTGGTAAGATTTGATCGTTCACTAAAAATTTAATAAAAGTGCGACAACATTGTCGCATATGTCGTTTTCATTGGCTATTTATGTAGTTTGAAAATCACTTATTGCATTTTAAAAAAATATATATACAGGGTGTAATATTTAATACGAATCCCTAAATTAATTTTTCCAAAGCCAGTCCTGGAATTTTTTAGTTTAGCTAATACCAGTCGAATGCTTGATAGTAGTGTACTGTATCATGCAAAAATTAAAAAAATCAAATGAGCCGTATAAACACTACAGTAAAATGAAATAAATGGTCAATTACACAAATCACCCTGTTAATTAATAAAGAAGAGGAGTTGACATTTTTTAGTGGCCACATGATATGCTCCCTGAGGGACTCTACATATGGTAGAAGTATGTAAAGTTCCTCATGACTCACCTGTATAGCGATTATAATCCCAGTTCTTTAAATACCAAGTCTTCAGGTAAAACAGTAACAATATTATTAATATTTAAATATAAAACAAGCAAGATAATCCTTAAATACCCGTTTATAAACAAATGTGGCTTAGGCTGTTTTGCCGCAATTTTATTGTAATATATTATTTTATATGCTCTAGACGAGAATAATGATGACTCGAGTGAAAAAAAACTCAATCAATGGGTTGTCGAACACTACGAATCAAGACAATGATGAACCAGAAAGCAAATCGCACCAACATTTCAGAAAGTGAGAAAGAAATCTTGAGAATCATGCAAGATATAGATAGATAGGAAGATAGCCAGGGAGAAAGGAGAAGAATATGTCACGAAAGAAGGAAAACGTAAAAATGCTAAAGAACTCGTAGTTGCAGCATGTTCGTGCAAAATGAAGTGTCATATAAAAATTTCTACTGAACGAAAGCAAAGCGTTTTTAAAAATTACTATTCGCTTAACTGGTCAATGAAAAATGCTTCTATTCAAGGTCAAATAGAAGTAGAAGACAAAAAGAGAATTTATACCCAAAATCAAAATTCACGCAGGTCTAAAACTCGTGTATATACTTTACCGGATGAAAATGGTTGTGACCAAGTGGTATGACTGGCCTGAAAATGTCGCATTACAAGGAGCTCAAGAGATCGCTTCATGCTTAATAAACTATCTTGAGGCGCACTTACCTGACCCAAGCGATTATCTGATTTTGTATAGCTATGCTTGTGGGGCCAGACTCGGAATATAAAGGTGGCTTTAATGTTAAGCAAACACCTTCAAAAGTGTAAATCGTCACTCAAAGTTATAGAACAAAGATTTTTTGTATCTGGACATAGTTTTAATATATGCGATCAAGATTTTGGGTTGATTGAAAAGGAGAGAAAACACCATGCTCGAATTTTTAATCCTGATGATTAAGTTTCCATAATTCAATCGGCCAAAAAAAGAAATCCAAAATTCCAGGTCAAAAGAATGAACTCACTAGAGTTTTTTAGTAGCAAGTCCCTTGAGAATAAGATAACAAATAGAAAAGTTACTATAACTGGCGAAAAAGTTGAATGGCTTAAAATTCAATAGATCAGGTATCTTAAAAATTAACCAAAAAAATGTATGTAAAATATACAGCATTGGTTTGTTACATGAGGTTGATTTAAGCAAGATAACCAAAGGTTGCCCATGATCATCTACTGTAATGCACAACCTAGATGTTCTGTATCAAAATGGAAGAGCAATAACAAACGAAAAGAAAAGGATTTAATGGACTTACTTAAGTTTATTCCGCTTGAGTTCCACAGCTTTTATTCTGGATTGAAAGATAGTTCCGATGCATTAGATGAGGGCTTAGCTTAGATGAAGCAATTATACATGAAAATTAAGAATACGCACTAGAATAAGTTTTTAGCTAATAAGTTGGAGATTTGGTTTCTGTTTATCTTAATTTTTGTTTGGGACAATTTACTCGTTTTAGTTTTCTTTATAACAAATGTGCCTATACTTTTTGGACACATAATTAGAATATTAAAACTTAGGTTGGACTTTTCCTTACACGTTGTTTTAAGACTTTGGCTTTTCTTAAAAAAATAAAGTGTCACAATGTTTTATCATAAAAATTGTATCTTTTTATTTAAAGTTAACTTTGACATGATTTATTACAACAACTCCACTTTGTGGCTTAGTCATCTTTGTCTCTGAGCCACTCAAATTATCTTCTCTGGCAAAAATCAACATTTTCTTACCTCTTCTTAATTTTAACACATTCGCTGCCTATTGAAGCGGATGGAACTCGGTTAGGAGCCATTTTGTTTTTTTTTTTGAAATTTAAAACTGTTATTATTTCTTAATATTGTGTTTTTAAGCTATTATTATTATCTTAAAGATTTTCATAATTCTGTCAAATTCTTTTACATCAAGCGCTAGCGCGTGATCGGCACTAGTGGTCCGTTTTCTCTCCCGATAGCCGAATCACGCACTCGCGCGTGTCCTGATGTATTCTTATTTATACTAATTTGTAAGTAATAAGTTACAATAAAGTAAATCAAATTGTATTTAAAAACTTAAAATGATATACAAAAATCGAAGTGCAAAAAATAGAATACTCCAGTTTACAAAATAATAATACTATTGATATACAAACGTAAAAATACTAACACTCTCTCGAATACACTTATTTTCTTGTAAATATGTAATTTTATTTAAATATGAGATACGACATATAGGGTGTACAATTATCAAGTTACTTATAAGTTATTTCAGCGCATTCTAAACAATAGCCAGGATCTCCAGGGCAGGTTGAACATATGTAGATCGTATCTTTTCTTTTGCTATTTTTGTAGCAGTTTTTACACTGCTTTCTCAAAATTTTTCGAGCCTTTTTTTTGTCGTGTCTTTAAAATGTGATTAGAACTGCATGGTGCTGTAGGTTTAGAATATTTCTTCAACAGTGCTCTTATTACTGACAAGCGAAACTCGTATATTGCTGTCGTTGATCCGGAATATTTATTGTACAGTTGATGGGCATTTAGTAACATCAACTGTAAAATATGTCCAAAAATTTTAGAAGGCCATCTAAGAGTCTTTCTTTCACCCGGATGTATGCAAGCATTACTGCTATCACCAGCATATATTTATTATTGGATAATTGGAATCGGTTTTACTTTTTCTCTTGTCTTGTAAGAATTTCCAACAAATCATTCTTATATTCAGTGGAAATATATGCAACCTCTCTCTTATCTTTCCATTTACCGGTCATTGTGCCATTCGCATACTTTGCTATAGTTTCATTTTTTTATATAACACTTTGTCCTTTACTTCCCGGGGAAATGATTTTCTATTAGCTCGCATAGTTCCTGTGCAATGCGTTTTTTTATATGCAAGACGCTGTGCTAGTTCATACGAGTTATAATAATTATCCATATACGAGCTACGTCCAACACCTAAAAATTCTTCCATTAAATTTAGGACAATTTTTTCTGTGGGTCCTTTTCCTCCACAATCATCTAACATGCCTGTGTAAACCATGAATTTTAATACTACTCCAGATGTTGTCAACATGTATAATTTTATTCCATATTTGTGGCGTTTCTTATTTATATATTGGCGAAAACTTAGACGACCACGCCACAGCACCATGGATTCATCAAGTGAAAGTCTACGTCCTGGGTAATATATTTGAAACATTCGAGAAATAAAATAAATAATAACAGTCCCTACTTTATGTAACCTGTCCACTGGAGTCACTTCACTATCCCTAGGATTTGCCGAGATCGGCAAAATGTAAGGATCGCAGTAGTAAGAGAAAACGATTTCTACCCATATTGTCTGCAAATACACTAAAGCTAAATAGATAGTCAGTTTTCCAATAATCTTGAATCCGGTTTAGACGAATATGTGCAATAAGAACCCTACAAATACAAGTAATTCGTCTCGAGTAACATCTTTCCAAATTGTGATACGTGATTTTTCTTTTGTATTTGGTCTCACTAGCAATTTAACAGCATAGTTATTTGTTTGTGTAACAATTTCATCAAGAAACTGGTCAGTCAATAAATGTCTGAAATCATAAAGTGAGCTAAGTATTGGCACTAAATTAGTCACAAAAAATTTACCTAAAATAATCAATGGGTTCATTTCCTGGAACAATTTCAAGTAAACTCTCAGCCTTCGTAAAAGGAAAAAATTTCATAGATCCTGAATTATTATTCATTCCAATTATATGTTTTCTGTGAGTTATTTGTTCATCTATATCATTTTCTGAGTCTGAATGATCTGAATTATTAGGTAAAAACTCGTCATCACCGTGATAATCGAAATCAGAATCCTCTACAGCATTATCAGACAACTCTTCTTCCAATATTGCTAATGTTTCTGCCTCAGATAAAGGTCTTTTATTATCATATTTACCTCTTTTAGGACGTGAAGGTACTGCTAATTATGTATCTCTATCTGTCATCATTTTTACAACTACTTAAAATCAAAAACAAAAAAAAATCAAAACCGGGTACAAAATAATGTTGATTATAACTTTCGCACAGTGCCTACCCTTCAGCACTCACTTAAAGTTAAGGCCGAACTAACTACACGCTACACGACTTTTAAAAGATCTACTACATATTGTAGATATATCACTCGATGGTGCGTGAATGGCATCTGACTGATGTAACCATATCCCGCGCTGGCGCGTGATCGGCAGCGAATGGGTTAAAGAGGGGTTCCACTGTAATATTAATTTTGCGGGGATACTACACTTCTCTCGAATACTCACCTCGCATAGTTTTACAGATTTTTAGTTATGTGTGACCATGTTAAAACAATTACTTTTTCTTTGTTTTTAGATGAAATAGAAAACATACTTCCTCCGCCATACCAAGAACGTTACTGAATTTTAATATTGACAATATTGAAAATATATTTTAATAGTATTAGGGAAAAAATATTTAACTATTTTTATCTACTAATAAAATTATAAAGTTATAAGCGCCACTAATACTTAAGAGTAGTTGCCTCAAAGTTATATTTTAAATTTTATTGTAACTTTCTAAAAAATAATTGTGTGATATAAATAAAGATCTTGTTTAATCAAAACCCTTTATCAAGTAAAATTGTGTTAATGAAAGAGTTTTCAAAAAAGTAAAAATGTAGGGAAATATGGCATATAGATTATACAAAGCTGAAAATCAATTTAAAAACAACAGGAATGTTATGCAAATTTCTAGTAAACGAAATAGTTTTCATTAAAAGAAAGGAATTTATTGTGACAATAAATTATTGTGGTTTTGAAATAAAGATTTTGTTCAATTATATGTTTTTATTTAACCCCTTACCGAAGTAAATTTTTATAGTTTTCATGGTAGGGAGTAGTGTATAGGAAAACGGCAGAATATAGAAAGCTCAAATCAAAGTACCTATATAATATTGATTAATATTTTTTATAGGGTGATAATTATGTCATACTTTGCAATGATTTATTCAAGACCAAGTTCCGTTATTGGTATTCTAAAGTGTGAGACAGTAAGTCCACTTACGAGTAAAACAACTTTTAACTGTCTAAATTTTTTTAATTCTATTTGCGATTTTTTATTTTAACGATAATTACTATTTAAATAGGAATAAGCCACAATTAAAGGTTAAAGTACGTTTATTGACGTTTCAATTTCCACTTCGGAAATCGTTCTCAAAATACAAACATTAGTAAATTAAACAAATTTTGTTTTTTTGTTACTTGGTGAAAATTCTTCTAATAATATAATTTTATCGGACTCATTTATATTGACAATTCAGACATACATTATACAATTTAAAGTAGATGACTTTAAAATGATATTGCCAATATTGTTGAGTTGCGTTCCTGTTCCTGAATTAAATTAAATCAACTTTAACTTGAGAATATCCGTCAAAAAAAAATCATAACATGTAATTCGTCTTTAAAAAGACAAATACATGCCATGATGACAGTAAAAATTTCCTGTTAGTGATTCCATAGTAACTTATGAGGGAAAAACCAGGAGCAAAAACCTCATAATAACAACGATACAGAAGAGACATTTACCATGGAAAAGGAATATAATAACACACTACCTTTCCTGGATGTTTTAATCTCTAAGAACGATACTGGATATGAGACTCAGGTGTATAGAAAACCAACACACACACACCAATAGATATTTAAATTTCAAATCAAATCGCAATATTAATACTAAAAAGAAAATCATTAAATCCTTATACAATAGAGCCAAAATTGCTTGTTCTAACGAAAATTTGTTCTTGGAAGAAAAACATTTCTTAACATCTGTTTTATTAAAAAATGATTATCCTTTATCGTTTATAAATAAGGAATTTTCAACAATCCACCGAATAGAACAGAATAACTTAGAACAAGATCCTACAGCATACACAAGGAATAATACGAGGAAAAGAACAATACCATACATAAAAGGATTATCAGAAAAACATAAAAGGATAGGAAATAAATTCAACATTTCAACAAGATTCAAAACAACAAACATATTGAGATCTATTTTGTCTAACACCAAACCTAACAATGAACAAGAAAGGACAAATAATTGTATTTATAAAATACCTGTGAATGCGATCAGTTTTATTTAGGCGCCACTAACAACATTAAAGCACTAAATGATAAGTGAACATCAACCTTACATTAAAAATAGAGAATTTGGTAGATCTCAAATATGTAAACACGCACGGGATAATGAACATAGGGTTCAATGGAATAATTCAAATACAGTCCTAAAAGAAACGGAATGGTAAAAGGAAAAAAATCAAAGAAGCGGCTCTAATTATGCCAAATGAGACCAATTGTGTCGCAAATTCCTCGGCAGAATGTAGTAGGATCTGGTTACCCCTATTAAAAGAGGAAGTTATTAAAAGGAAAATACCAGTATTAGTAAGTCAGTAACGTATAGAGGATACATAATTTATGTTTTTTAAATAACAAACATATACAATTAGAATTTGGTGTTTATTGAAAGTAAACTAAATGCACGACCAAATACTTACCACGTCGAGATAGTATTATGAGGTTTTTCCCTCATAATTTACTATGCAATCACTAATAGGAGAGTTTTACTGTCATCATGGCATGTGTTTATATTTTTAAAGACGAATTACAATACACGCTATGATTTTTTCTGACGGATATTCTCAAGTTAAAGTTGACTTCATGTAATCGAATGAACTATCTTACAAGTAAAGTCGTCCCAGGAACGCAACTCAACAATATTGGCAATAACATTTTAATGTCGTCTTCTTTAAAACGTATAATGTATGTCTAAATTGTCAATATAAATGAGTCAGATAAAATTAAATTATTAGAAGAATTTTTTTCACCGAGTAACAAAAAAAAAACAAAATTTGTTTGTTTACTAATGTTAGTATTATGAAAACGATTTCCGAAATGGAAATTGAAACGTCAATAAACGTACTTTAACCTTTAATTGTGGCTTATTCCCATTTAAATAGTAATTACTTTAAAATGCCACAAGAAAATAACTTCAGAACAATATTTTAACGATATTTTTAATGGAGGAAGTTCAAAATGAAAAACAATAAATAATGTAATAAATAGTAGACATTATATTTCTTACAATATATACAATTTAAAAATACAAAACTATTATTACACATATTTGTATAAAAAGATGTTTTGATTTATTAACAAAGACAATTTATTCAAGGAATTGTAAGCCATACTTAAAACCCTATTCACATATACATATTTACAATATTTAAATTATTCTGTCTGGCAATCTTTATCAATCTGCATGAAATCGAATCAGAAAATCTTTTCACCATAACCAAGAATTACGGTGATATAGGGTTGCTATAATATCACGGCTCATTGGACGGATAATTGAAACAGAGTAACTTGGTTAATTATTGCAATATTAAATTTAACCGTTGCAAACACCGTGCGATCCTTATTTAACTGACCAACATTTAGCACGTCTTGCTTGAAGAGCTACAATGTTGGCAGAACATATATATTAACTCTCAAGAACTAGACACGGACAAAAGAGACAGAAAAATCTAAATAAAGTTATATATATACATATATATATATATATATAATATATATATATATATTATATAATATATATATATATATATATATATATATATATATATATATATATTCGGGTTTGTAGAATATAAATGTACTATGTTTTATTAATTAAGATCTCTATATTCTTATTATATATAATTTTTTTTTAAATAATTTACACAGCAATTCATTGTATGTATTAATATTACTTTCGTGTATGTGTATATAACAATGAGTTTATATTAAAAATAGAATCATTTTACAAACTAAAATTACTTTAACGTCAGATATGATTCCAAGTGGAAGTAAAGTATGTCGGTGTAGATTAATATTATTCGGTTTTTTCATTATCGCCATAGAACTTGGGCTAAAAAATATAATAATGTAAATTATTGTATACATGAAATAAAAAATAAGCCAATATGTTAAAAATTAAGACAGTAATGGCCAATTATGTTTAAGTTTCGTCAAGCAGGTTTTAAAAGAAACATGATATTGCATAATAATTATGTGTGATATGTATTAAAAACAAACTAAAAAGGATGCATACCAGGTCATGAGCTTCAGGTTTATTCATTTCACCCTCATCATCATCTGAGTCATCTTCTCCAGAAGATTCCGCATTTGTACCTGAAATGTGAACAATTGTTGATTTTTTTAACAGCATTAAAATACACAACAAAACAATAGATTTTGTCGATGTCCAGTGACTGGAAATGTCATAGTCGAACATATCTTAGCTAGAAATTCCACACTGTTATTCAAATTCATATTGTTTCTCTAATAGTTTAAATGTTTTTCAAATTAATAAGTGATTTTTATTTTTTCAAGAAATCCACTCCACCACCCAATAACAAACCAAACGAGTGGTTCTACTCATAAGGTAAATAAACAATAAAAATATAAATGAAATCGTAGGCTTCCACGGCCAGAGTCAGAATTATAGTTTATTCGTCTTCCGGGTTTGGACCGTGTCATTTGTGAGTGATCCAAAAGTGGGTTCATCTCGACGTTTCGCTACAATTGTATGTAGCTTCTTCAGGAGAACAAAGAAAAAGAAATCAAAAGACAGGAAGATGGGTAGTTAGCAACGGTAACTCAGTTACTCAACGCAACCAGAGGCGAATACTAACTACCTAGTAGTATTAGTAGTAGTATGTAGCTTCTTCAGGAGAACAAAGAAAAAGAAATCAAAAGACAGGAAGATGGGTAGTTAGCAACGGTAACTCAGTTACTCAACGCAACCAGAGGCGAATACTAACTACCTAGTAACTGAGTAACCGGTTGCGTTGAGTAACTGAGTTACCGTTGCTAACTACCCATCTTCCTGTCTTTTGATTTCTTTTTCTTTGTTCTCCTGAAGAAGCTACATACAATTGTAGCGAAACGTCGAGATGAACCCACTTTTGGGTCATTCACAAATGACACGGTCCAAACCCAGAAGACGAATAAACTATAATAAAAATATATATAAAACTTAGAAAGGTATCGTAAACAATAGTACACCGAACAATAAAGCCGCAATTAATAAAGCTGCAAAAGATCTAAAAAAAATGGTATATGTTTTAAAACATGTGTAAATTGCAACCTGAGAGTTAGTTCTCTATCTAAAGTTCCAGATTACTCTTTATTGAAGGTTAATTATGAAGGTTAATTATTACCTTACTTATGCAACAGGGGCACAGAACCCGACAAGCAGAGGAAGAATATAAACAACTACGCAAAGAAGAAAATAAAACTCACCGAAGAAAAAAGAGAGAATATATGAACAAAGAACTTCAAGAACTACAAGAACTAAGTAAATCAACAGAGACAAGAAAATTTTATCAGAAACTAAACAAAAGCAGAAAAGACTCCAAACCGAGAACAACGATGTGTAGCGATAAGGAAGGTAATATATTGACAGAACAGCAAGAGATACTAAGTAGATGGACAGAACATTTTAAGGAAAAGCTTGAAGGAGATCGGAGAGAGACGAACCCTGACATATCATTAGACCAAGCAGACAACAGAGAAAAGACTCCACCAACAATAGCCGAGATTAGAGCAGCAGTAGACAAATTAAAGAACAATAAAGCACCGGGATCGGATCAAATAGCATCGGAGTTACTGAAGGAAGGAGGAGACGCACTACAAAAAACAATACATGAATTGATAACAAAGATATGGTCGAATAAACAGCGACCAGCGGAGTGGAATAGCGGTATTATTGTACCATTACATAAAAAAGGAAATCAGTTAGAATGTGGAAACTACCGTGAAATCACGCTGCTGAATGCAGCATACAAAATAATATCCAACGTCATTTATGAAAGACTTAGACCACACGCTGAAAAAATAGTTGGCAAATACCAAAGTGGCTTCTGTAGACAGAAGTCAACAATAGACCAGATATTTGTTCTGCGACAGATCCTCGAAAAAACAAGTGAATATAACATCGACACACATCATCTCTTCATAGACTTTGAAAGCGCATATGACAATATAAACCGAGAATTCTTAATAAAAGCAATGAAAGAATTTAATATACCAACACAACTAATAGAACTGATAAAAGAATCTCTAAAAGTAGAAAGTAAAATCCGGATACAAAATGAATTAACGGAAACAATAGATGTGAAAAAGGGACTACGCCAGGGAGACGCTCTATCATGCATCTTGTTCAACATCGTACTCGAGAAAATACTGAGGGACACAACAGTCAATACTCGAGGAACAATCATTAATAAAAGCGTGCAAATACTAGCATTTGCAGATGATGTTGACATAATCGCAAGATCAAGAAGAGAAATGATAGAGGCATACAAACAAATAGAACGAGCTGCACAAAATAGTGGTCTTAAAATCAATCGGACCAAAACAAAAAAGTAAAAACGCAGAAATAAGGCAGCCACAAAATATAACAATAGGAGAATACAACATTGAGGGGGTAAAAAACTTTATATACTTGGGATCCCTAGTCACGTCTGATAATGTTGCGGAGGAAGTGAAGAGGCGAATATTTATTGCCAATAAATGTTACATGGCTTAATTAGGCAACTAAGATCAGATAACGTCGCAAGAAAAACAAAATGCCAAATATATAAAACCTTAATAAGACCGGTACTCACATACGGCTCAGAAACCTGACATCACTAAAAGAGAGGAAACGTTGTTAGCCACCTTAGAAAGAAAAATCTTGCGACACATATATAAGGGCACAAAAGAAAACGGAATATGGCGAAGAAGATACAACTTTGAACTATACAAAATATACCAGGATCCGGATATTATAACATTCATAAAAATAGGACGTATGCGTTGGATAGGACAGGTAGAAAGAATGGAAGAAGGCGAAATACCAAACAAAATATTCAAACAGATGTCAGTAGGAAAAAGAACAAGAGGAAGACCGAAGCTGAGATACTTAGAACAAATAGAAAATGATATAACAACCTTAAAAATAAAAAACTGGAGAAAAAAAGCACGAAACAGATGAGAATGGAGAAGAATCCTTGAACAGGCCAAGACCCAAAAAGGGTTGTCGAGCCAGTGATGATGATGATGAAGAGACAAGTAACGGATGATGGATAAGCACCGAAGACGAAAGACGAATAAATTAATTTAACACCTGGTAACTACTTTTACTCCATTTACCTAAGAGTTACAGACCGAAGAAGAGGAAGACGTTTATTAATATTATGACTGCCCATTAAACCTTTTAAACCTACCGAAATTGTCAATACAAAACTGAACATAAATAAAACGAAAGCATCTGGATATGAACTGATTACTGAATTTGTCTTGTTCCAACATCTAAAAATACACTCTTGTTGTTAACGTAAATTTACGACGTACCAAAAATAAGCTATTTTCCATTACAATGAAAAGTGGCGTAAGTAATTTTAATCCGGGTAAACCTTTAGAACTGGATTTCGTCAACAACGAGATGCAAGTGACCAAGACCACAAGAGTGATTAATATAAAAAAAACAATTTTAGTTTTGAAATAAAACAAATATTCTGCAATCTTTCTCGATATCACATAAGCTTTTGAATCAACTGTACAATAAAATTTCATTATACAAGATGATACACATTAAGGTAATGACGTCATGACGTCAAAGGCTCGTTTTTTAAATGTAACACCCTGTATTTTAGAACATTTTTAGATCGATAAAAATGAGGTGATTCCAAAAAAGTATAATACTAGGGGTCTAACGGATATAATTTGAAAGATATGCGCTTAGAAAATTATTTTTTATTGATTTCTAATATTAATAAATTATAAATAAATTATAATAAATAAATTGAAAGTAATCCAGTAATTCATACATGACTTTATCTTAAATGTTCGAATTGTAGCCCTTGTTGTATTTGACAGTAACCCAAACGTTGTACAAATTATTGTAGAACCTTGTTTATGGTTTCTTGAGAAATATTGTTTATTTCTTTACGAATTCTTGTTTTTAAGTCTTCAATATTTGCAGGTTTCGTTTTATAAACAACATTCTTCAAATGACCCCACATAAAATAATCCAAAGGATTGAGATCTGGTGACCTCGCTGGCTATTCAATATGTCCACGTCTTCCAATCTACCTGTTCGGAAAAATTTCGTTTAGGTACCTTCGAACATCTACAGCATAATGCTGAGGCGCACCATCCTGTTGGAACCATAAACTTACATCAAAACCTCCAGGATTAATTCTACTGTGGAATAAATTAACTAAGTAGGTACGAGATACCCTCTTAAAAACTGAAGGTATGCTGGCCCGTTTAAATTACCTTCGAAAAAGTAGGGTCCGATGATTCTATTTCTTACAATGCCAGCCCATACGTTTACCTTTTGCGGATATTGTGTATGATGTTTCCGCATCCAGTTAAGGTTTTCTTTTGCCCAGTATCTACAATTCTGACGTTGACTCGCATTTAATGTGAATGTAGCCTCATCAGAAAAAATAATATTTTGAACCAAGAGAGGGTTTCGGTGGCAGTTATCCATCATTGTTTCGCAAAATTGTATTCTTTTATTTGAATCATCCTCGTTTAATTCCTGTACAAGTGTGCATCTAAAGGGGTGCTATTTTTATTACTTTGTGTACCGTTGTTTTGCAAATATCGAGATCACGACTAACCTTTTGCGATGCCAGTTTTATTACTTTGTGTACCGTTGTTTTGCAAACATCGAGATCACTACCAACCTTACGAACAGAAGTGTGCACATCTTCTTCAAAAGCAAGTAGAACATCTAATGTATCATAATTTACAGAGGGATGACCTGATTTGGGTGCATTTTCAACCGTACCAGTTTCTCGAAATTTCTTTTCAATCTTACTTACTGTTGACTGCGTTATGGGTCTTTCTGGATATTTATCATTAAATAAATTACACACTTCCATCTGAGTTCGCGATTTGTCTCCATACCCAATCATCATGAGTATTTCAATTCTTTGCTTTACACTCAAATTCATTTCTACTTCAAATTAATTCTAAGCAATAATACAGAACATTTGCGATTATCATTGAACCGATTAGTCCAGTCGTCAGAGAGTTGGCCCCTAAAAATCATATCTTCTTCTTCAAGTGCCATCTCCGCGGCGGAGGTCGGCAATTATCATAGCTATTCGGACTTTTGAGACGGCTGCTCTGAAAAATTCATTTGATGTACATCCGTACCACTCCTCAGGTTGCGCAGCCATGACATTCTACGCATTCCTATGGTTCTCTTTCCTTGAATCTTTCCCTGCATAATCAGTTGGAGCAAGGTCTCCACGTGTAATATGTCCGAGATCATATGAACAAGCTGAATTTTGCCGAGAATATTAATTTTCGAAACCCAAAAAAGTTGCAAAAAAGTTTTCCACCTTTAAAAAAATTAATTCAAGAATCTGCACACTGCAAAAAAAATGTCATATAAAAAAATGTAGCTAAGATAAAAAAAATGATTATTAGCACTTTTTGTATAGAATGAACCGTTCTGTCAGAAACAATGCTTGAAGCGACCGTCGATTTTGAATGTCAGTTACACGCGGCAAATCAATGTTTAATTAAATTTGTATCAACTCGATGGTTATAATCTTTCTTTTTTCTCGAGATCAATAATCACTATATATTTATATGAAATTTCAATTTTGATTGTGGCAACAAATGCAGAATTTAATGTTTTATATTACAAATGATCGCACGTCACGGGAAATGCCTCCAAGAAGACGGTTTTGGGTGCAGTTTATAGCAGAAGTTTGGTTCTTTTGAAAAACGTACTAGTGTAATTATAAACATATAAGTTTAAAACGTTTTAGACCTTTTATTATGTGAAAGTTTAAATCCAGCGTTTTTTAAGCATATTTTAAATGCCTCACATTTGTTGCCAAAACTCAAAACTAAAATTTCATGCTATAAGTTTTGAAGGTTAGGCTCTAGTAATCGAAACTTTATAGTAGCCAGTCAACGAAAGGATATATTGTATTGATCTCATGAGAATCATAAAAAATGGCAAAAATCGCGCCACGTTTATTTATTTAACGCCTTTATAAAATCTGAATTTATTTGCGATCAAATACAAAAATGTCATACAAAAGCTGACTTGTATTAAAATATATGTAGATAGTACTTGAGTCAAAAGATATCGAATTTTTACCATCAAGCTGATACAAATTTTATTGAACATTGATTTCGCGCGCGTAACTGACATTCAAAATCGACGGTCGCTTCAAGCGTTGTTTATGATAGAACGGTTCATTCTACACAAAAAGTAAAAAATTTTTGTTAAAATTATTCTTTGTTTAATAAATATTATTTAAACATTTTTTTCTACGGCGTACAGATACTTGGTAAATCATTTTTTTGCGTTTTTACCCCCTTACGAGGGGGTTTTAGGGTGAAGTCCGAAGGTAAAAGTGGTAAACTTTTTTGAATCTTTTTTGAGGCCACAAACTTAATATTCTTGGCAAAATTCAGCTTGTTCGTATCAATTTTAGAGGTTCAGAGGAATTTTCGTCGCTAACGACTGGAGTAGATGAGTTTAACTACCAGATAACTGGTTGGAATAAATATTTGTAACCATTCCACCAAAAAAATAACGCTAGAGAATGTGGCGGCTATCAACGTATTAAAAATAATGTAGCGAAAATGTTGCATTGTCGCATATTTCAACTTTGTGAATTGCTGGTGATAAGCAGTTTGGTTTACGAAGCGGTATGGGTACTCGGGAAGCGTATGAGAATATTTTACAAAGAAGCATTGAGCTTCGAAAAAATATTTACGTATGTTTTATAAATTTCGAAAAAGCCTTTGCAAGAGTATCACATACATAACATTTCGAGCTTAGGCTTAGTGCTGACACGTACATCAGATGTCAAAGCTTCACTACAATCAGACCGCTTGAATTAAGGTGGATCAGTGGGTTTCAGCTCAAGTTCCTATTAAGCATGGCGTCAGACAGGGATATGATAGGTGTCACCGACGTTATTTAATGTCTACTCTGTATTAGTGTTTGAAACAACATTAAACAATCGTAGCAAAGGTGTTGAAATAGGTGGTGAAATTATAAATAATATCAGATACGCCGATGATACCGCCATAATGGTAGAGAGACTAGAAGATCTTCAAACTCTGTTGAACGCAGTAAACAATAAATGCAACAAAATGGCTTAACCATCAACGCAAAGAAAACGAAGTGGATGGTAGTAAAAAATTAATATTAAAGTTTCAGTACTAAAACTAGACAAAAAGTCTGGAGATGTGGAACACTTTAGATATATGGTTAGCTAGATTGACTGCAGAGGAAAACCAGAATAGAACTGGCACGTAAAAGCTTCTTTAGTTGCCGTTCTGTATGAGGCAATAGAAGTAAGTCGTTGAATACGAGTCTAATAGTGCTAAAATGCAACTACTGGTCCGCTTTAGAATCTAGTGCAAAAATCTAAATAGATTAGAAGCGTTGGAGTTGTGGGATTAACGCCGCATGCTCAAAATCCCGTAGACAGAATACATATCCAACGGACGTGTACTAGAAATCATGCACAAGGAGAGAGATTTGATCAATACCATCAAAATAAGAAAGGTCTAATACTTCGGTCATGTAATGAGGGGATCCAAATATCGCTTACTCTGGTTGAACAATCAGGGCAAAATAGACAGATCGAACAGTCGAGGATTTATTGCATATAGCTACCGACCGAGAATCATTCCAGCAGCTTGCAAACATGATGATAGCATTGAAAACAATGATGGCACACAAAGAAAAAGAACCACTTTTGAATAGCGCAAAGTACTTCGGTATTCATATCAATAGGCGATTTACTAGGGAAAATCACATTTTGAATAAACGTAAATCTTTCAGCTATATGGAGATGTGCAAGCGAATCTAATACTGAAATCCTGCAAAAATTGCAATCGAAAGTTTCTAGGAAGATTGTTAATACTCCTTATAACGTCGCCGATGAATTGTTATTTCGTGATCTTTCTGTAAGTTTTGTGCGCGAAGAAATAAAAAAGTGTAGTGCTAGTTATCTAAAGCATTTAGAAGTTCCATTCTAATTCTAGTGCAATATGTCTACTGGAAAAAGGAAGTGAGAACACTTAATAGATACAAATCCCTGGACTTACCGAACAGATTTCATTTTAATAAGTAAATCCTCTAGAATATAAGGAAATTCTTGTAAATATTAATATTAGTTAAAACTGATCACAAAGTTAACAGCACTTTCCGGTAACCTTTTACTCCAATTCTTTTTTGCCAAATTATATATATAAAAAAAACAGATTACAAATTCTTACTTGGAAATTAAAAAAAAAATAATTTTTGGTTTGGTTAAATAGTGTTCAATGTTGGGAATGTGGATACGCAGCTCCATATACCAATGAAAATGATTAGCAGCAGCACAAAAACTACTACATTATGTTGGTTACTCCAAGTCCGAGTAATGTTATATTCTTCATGAATACATATTGTATAATAAATAAATAAAGTAATCTACAACTTGACCTACCTATAAATAAATGCTAAACCTACCTAACCTAACCTCAACCTACCAGTAAGAAAATGTTACTTGTCAGAATAACTTACTCGTTAGAGTAAGAAAATGTTATCGATCCCAACATCCACAAGATACATACATGATACATACAGAAGAGCCTTAAACGAATTAGAACAGGGTGTATGCATACATAACGTCCATAAGTCGTTAAACTTCTCGTGCTCGAATCGTAATCAATAGTGTTATGGCTCATTTCAGCATCCCCGCTTCATCAGACACTCGGGTGATACAAATTCAAACTCGGAAAGCCCAACGAATGTCTCTTAAAACTCTACCACCGCAGTGGTTAGCGTACAGAGCTGCCCCCTACTTTGGTGGCCATGAACGATTTAATAATATCATTTTCTGTCCTCTGGGCTATACAAAATGTGTAAAAAATTAAATCTTTTATATATACATAACAACTTATGAATTCAGTAGACGTATCAGTAGAATGACAGTATATGACACGTTCAATCCGGACACGTCGAATTTGTTATGCTAATTATAAGAATGATTATAAAAGAAACTTTCAAAACGAACTTATGCTGAAATTTGGATAAGAAAAAATGAATTCATACAACATAATGACGGTACTAGATTTTGATTCGATACAGTGCGGCGATAAGCCGCTTATACGTATTTCGACCTCTTTAGATCTCTTCAGAACGGTATAGCCACTACCCCGTTAGATGGGGTAGTGGATATACCGTTCTGAGGAGACCTAAAGAGGTCGAAATACGTATAAGCGGCTTGTCGCTACTCTGTATCGAATCAAAATCTAGTACCGTCATTATGTTTTATTTCTTTACTCCGTTTGGAGTACCAGAAATTGAATTCACTACGAATTTTGACCCTGATGAACGGCATTTGGAATGCAATCTTAGATTCCCTTGCCGATTTATTCATCAAGCTGTTTGCTTTGCAAGTTTTAGAAAGCACGGTGGTTAAGATTTGAATTCGATTTCGCCAGGTAGAAATCGTATGATTTCTCTTTTTGTTAAAAAATAATTTTTAAGGCTACTTTTGGAGAAAATATTATAAACGTAAATTTCTACAGTAGAAATTAAGAAACCAAACGAAACGCAACTCAGCACGGTGCGATATATTTTCTTCAAGAAACAGAAAACATGAAGTAGCATAACTTCACTCAGTAGTCAGTACTAGCAAACAGTCACATTTAGAACTTAGAATAAATATTAAATTTTATAATATATTTGTCTCTACAAATAGCAATCATTTTCTGTGTTGTAATTTTCGTTTACTTGTAAAGTTATAAATAAATCAGAAAAAGATTTTATTTTTCAAGTTTTAAACAAATAATATAATCAAGTTACCTTTAATAGACGAGTCTAACGAATTGTGATTCTTCGTTGTAGCAGTTGTAAGTGTTTCATAACAGTGTAGACATACTCTAAGAGGCTTTGAACTTTGATTGGGAAGCAGGAATCGCTTACTTGAGCAAGGTCCACATACCACAGATCCACATTTACGACAATGATGCTGAAATTACATAAAATATTTATTGAAAATGTTTAAACCTAATCTTTATTGACATGTTACACATTTATTACAAGAATACTCATTGTATTTATGATGAAATATATCTCTCTAATGTGTTTTGTAAGATAATAACAATTACTGATCTCTAATAGTACAAGATCCCACTATAGTAGCGTTTCTTAACCTGTGGTCTCCGGACACCTGTGGTCCCCGGACACCTGGGGTCCGCGGTCTTATTTATGGACATTTAAATTAATAAATAATTAAACTTTGAAAATAAGGCTATATCGAGCACAAGTAATTAAATCTAATTAAATAGGGCTAGATTTAATTAACTTGTGCTCGATAATAGCCTTATTTTCAAAGTTCATTTATTCGAGCATTCAACCTCATGTCAATTAATAAATAATTGTCAGCAATCAGTACAAAAAAAACAACATACAAAGCGCGCTAATAGTGATGAAAACGTCACAAACGATCAGTTTACAAAGATCGAATCTTTTCGAAGACCGTGATTGATACAATCACATTCTGTGACCCTATCGTTCGAATGACCTATGAATCATACCTATGAATGACGCTGTCTAGTGTTTACGAAACGAACTGTGTGATCGCGACACGTTGCTCGGTCAAATTAATGCATGAACCGCGAACAGGAAAGGATCGTTCAAACGCTGATTTCAGTTTCCCAGAACGGCGAAACCCTTACGCTGCAAAACTGTAAAATTATATACATTCGAATTGTCCAGTCAATGAGTCAATGGTCCATGGTCCCGTAATCTGTTCTGTTAGGTTTAAGGATTGAAATTATTGTTTACATTCATTTTATTAGTCGTGTGTTTTGTTTACACGCATTGTTTTGCACTGTGTTGCGTTGAAGTGTAGATAGCTAACTTTATAGATAAGTATTACGTTTTTAGTGTGATTGTGACAATGAAACGCTGGTTAAAGCCAAACGATTCCGAAGCAAATGAAAGACCATCGACTTCAAAGGTTAAACGTCGTAAGTTTTGTGACGATTACTTAGCTTTCGGATTTACATGTATCAATTTAAACGGTGAAGAAAGACCTCAGTGCGTCATATGCTACGAAGTTTTGTCGAATGAGTCAATGTAACCGGCCAAACTCCGACGTCATTTAAAAACAAAACACCAAAGCCAAAGACTAAAGCCAGAGACCAAAGCCCCGGAATTAGAACGAAGCAAAAAAACAATAATTAAGACTGCTACTGGGGCAAATAACGAAAATGCTGTATTAGGGTTTTGCCAAATATCCTTATTAGTTGCAAAAAGTGGTAAGCCTGACACCATTACAGGAGAATTAATACTACCGTGCGCTAAAATTATTGTTTCCGCTATGTTGAGAGAAAAAGCTTCAAAAAATTGGACGTTACATAGGTATCCAATAGTACAGTGAAGAACAGAATTAACGGCATTTCAGAAAATGTTAAAGAGTAAGTGATTTTGAATGTTAAAGCGAACAGATTTTGTTCTTTGCAATTAGATGAGAGCACAGATATTAGCAATGACGCCAATTTGCTTGCATTTGTTCGTTGCGAATATAACGACGGCGTAATTGAGGCTTTTCTATTTTGTAGGCGTCTGCCTTGGCATACTACAACTGAGGCGATATTTGAAGTATTGAACGACTTTATGTCCACTCATGAGATAAATATGTGGCAGTTGGTGCAGACGGTGCTCGAACAGGATTTCAGGCTCGCGTGAAGAATATAAATCCATCTATTATCTGGCATCATCGTTGTATTCACAGAAAGGCATTAGCTGTTAAAAAATGTCCGAAAAATTAAAAACAATGTTAGACGAAATAGTGCAGGCCGTGAATTTTATTAAAGTCAGACCCTTAAATTCCCATATTTTCGGTATGATTTGTGAAGAAATGGGAAGCATTCACCAGCAATTATTATTGCGTGCTGAGGTGCGTTGGGTGTTTCGTGACAAAGTCGTGTCGCGTGTTTTTGAGCTCAGAAATGAGATCAGAATGTTTTTTTTAAAGCGCAAATAAACATGCTAATAATTTTAATAACTTTGAATGGCTTAAAATGGTCACATATTTGGCTGATATCTTCAATGGCCTTAACGAACTGAACTTAAATCTACAAGAAAGGGTAAAGGGATCAACATCTTCCAAACTGAAGATAAAATAGAAACCATGATAAAAAAACTTGACCTTTGGACTAATCGTACAACTAAAAAAAAACTATAATCATTTTCCTACTGATCAAGTTTTTGGAATCCTCTGATGGGGAAATGTTGCCAAAGCAAGTAGAGGAAGAAATAATTATACACCTCCGCGGTTTGAGGTCTTCTTTTCGAGATTATTTTCCAGAATCCGACAGAAATAAAAACTGGATAGCAGACCTTTTCAACGCAGATGTTTCAGATATCATCGGCTTGACAACGATACAGGAAAATCAATTAATAGAAATATCAAAAACATTTACAGAAACAGACTACAATTGTAATCCAATTTAAGATTAAAACTAAGTAAACATACCAACCCAAATGGGTCAACCCAAATATACCAAATTTCAAAAGCAAGAAGCTAGCACCAACCTTCACATTAATACAATATTTTTTATTTTCATAAAAATATAATTTTATCAGTACTAAATTGTCCTAAGTTAATTGTGTTTTTTATTAAAGGGATCTTTAAAATTGTGCTAGCTTTTCTAGGGGCCCGGGGACTGAAAAAGGTTAAGAAACGCTGCACTACAGGATCACTACGTTCATAACGTAGTTAATTAAATTTACATTTTTACATATATTTAAAATTAGGAGAATACATTGATAATAGGTTGCCAGTCAAAAAGTGGTCGGTCGCAAATATTTTTAATTCAAACAATTTTGAACAAAATTTTATTTCGTTCATTTATTTTTTAAATAAAATACGCTGCCCATGACGCTTGAGACAAAATTGTCGAAAATTAGGGTTTTTTTTTCCTGAAAAATAGCTTTGGCAGAGCCAATTAGCCAGACTTGTTTGTGTTAATTGTTAAAATCGACAGAATTTTAATTATTATAGATTGCAGATCATAGTCAAAATTTTCTTATCAGTTACAGTGTTATGTCAGCTGTTAAAAACGCGAGGTATCAAAGATAAAATAAAAGACAGCTAGTGCGCAACGCTACTGGTTTAAAGTGACAGTTATGTAAGTTTTTAAAGCATGCGTCGATAGATATATTAATAATATACATATTATCACTTGTTAAACCACTGTCGTTGCGTCCTAACCCTTTTACTTTCATATGTCATATTTAAAAAATATCATATTAAAAAAAATACCATTTTTAATTACTATTAACTGAATTAAAAATATTTGCAGCCACTGTTTGACTAGCAATCTATTATAAATGTGTTCTCCTAATTTTAAATGTATATAAAAATGTGAGTTTGATTAACTACGTTATGAACGTAGTTATCCTGCAGTGGGATCTTAGACTATAAGTAAAACCAAACATTGTAAAAACAATTTTATTTAATAAAATCCAGGTCACCTTTTGACATCACTGTCAAACACAGTTTGTCCCTTCAAAATGGTACCCATACGAGGTCCATCAACAATTGGACTTTTTGGGTCTTATTAATAACCCACTATTAAATGGTTTTAAATAGTAATTGTGATGTTTGGGATGTTCCCTATGGCGTTGGCAACCCAGCCACTTTTCCATTTTTCTTTAAACTAGACTCCATTTAGTTTCTCTTGTTTTATAAAGCTGACGATGGCAGTGATGTCGAAACGCGTCCTGGATTTTATTAAATAAATACCGTATTTACAATTTGTGGTTTCACTTAAAGATTAGTAATCGTTATCACATTGTATTTACACTAAAATAGGCATTGTTACAATAATTTAAGAAATATAAATTGCAAGCTATGACTAACCCTTCTGTTTATTAAAGTAAATTGGGTTTTCCTACAATGCATGCATACTGGCGCTTCTCCATCTGGTACCCAAACTGCAGCATGTTCTGCGACAGCTTTTTTACCACCTACAATAAATAATACAAAATTACACCAACTTTATAAAAGAGAAATAAATCCTGTGAAAAATAATATAAAACTATTTTAAATATTTAACATTTTATTGTAGTATTGTAAAGTTGAATTCATGGTTCTTTATCCGTGCGTCATTTATACCTGGCGAGATAAAACACAGTATACTTTTTATCTAGCATCATTGTCTTCCATGCATGAAACTAAAAACAAACCAGCTACCACCTGTGATTAAGTAAAGACACATGTTATTTTTATGAACGCTCTAGACCAGAACGTTTTCAGATCTTAAGTACAATTTGTGACGTTTCTGGTTTACTTGTGGCTGCCAGTTTGTTGGATTTGTTGCTGTTTTTTTGTCCCGTTTTTGCATTTAAAGTTATTTATATACAAAAACAGTAGTTTTCACAACTCATTTTATATTGGAGTTTAAAATTTTGTTATTTATATTACACAAACAGTAGTTTTTACAACTAATTTTATATTGGAGTTTGAAATTTTATGGGAAGTGTATTTTATTTTGCCATTAATTTGCACAAAAATTTAACTTCATTCACACAGTTCAGGAATGGTCTTGTTTAAGTTTCCGCAAAACTGAAAGAAATGAGAAAAAGAAAATATTTTATTGAATTTTTTTAGATTGTGCCTGGAAAAAGTCTTACCTCACAAGCACAAGAACTCGTTTTAAATTTAATCGAGTACTTTGAATTAGAAACAGAGAATGGGGGCCATTGGAACCGTTGTCATCTGTTCAAGAGGTACAAAAATTACAATTTTGAAATGTGCAATTTTAATTAAAAAGATTGATAATACAGTCTTGCAACAGTACTAAAACTGAAACATAACTGTCTCTTTGTGCGCGATGTCATATTCAAATTAACTAGTATAGACCTGTCAAGTAGCAATTAATCATTAAGGCCTAATTGTTAACAAAAGGTGTTAAATACAGAGGAAAAAGTGTTTCTTGTAAAGCATTATTTTCGCTCATACGGAATCGACCGACGTAATAGTGCAAGTCTGCAATACGTGTGTGATCAATTCACACAACGGTTTAATAAACGTTCTCCAAGTAATGCTGTAATTTTGAAGGTTGTTGAAAAGTTTAGAAATACGGGTAATGTATTGTGCCAACGAAAAGGAAACTCAGGGCGTCCCAGGACAGTTAACAACAACGATAACCATGAACGTGTTTTTGAGCGAATCTTGGAAAATCCGAAAGCCAGCCAGACAAGAACAGCGTTGCATCTTGACTTAAAACGAACTTCCTTGCAAAGAATCTTGAAGGAGCTAGGTGCATTTTCGTATGTGATTCAGGTACATCAACAATTACATCCCAGGGATTATCACAGTAGAGTGGAATATTGTGCCAGAATTCTTGCATTACAGTATGAAAATCCTGAATTTTTGAAAAATGTATGGTTTTCAAACGAAGCACATTTTCATTTGTCAGGGCCATGTATATCGTCACACAAACCGATTTCTGGGCTTTGCTAGACCAGATGAAATTCAAAAAGTTCCTTTACAAAGCGCAAAAGTGTGTATCTGGTATGCAGTACAGACATAAGACACACTTAATCAACAGAGGTACATACGAATTTTAACACTCTTTATCCCTGATATACGTCAATTTTGTTGTGCACGTAATTTGGCGTAAGTTGCCATACTGTGACATTTTTCAAACAAATTAATTTCACGATTTACTGACTTTCCCTATCCTGCACATTCTCCGGACTTAACATCTCCAGACGCATACATTTGGGTCATGCTAAACCTGACGTTTATAAACGGGCACCAAAAACCACCAATGAGTTAAAGTATGAAGTTAAGAGTCTTCTTCCGGACTTGAGACAACCTTTATTCCATAACATTATGAGTAATCTGGAATATCAGTATGAAGTCTGTCTTGAGAGAGATCATTTAAAACATGTTATAAAGTGTCGATAACATGTATTTTTAAAAACAATAAAATCATTAAAACTTCAGTACTGTTTATTTTGGGATATACTGTATTTTAACAAGGTTCGACATCTATACAAGGGCTGGAGAACGTTAAGCAAACCGGGTTGCTTTTGGGGGTGGCTCAGTAATTTTTTTGGACAGGGATTTCTTTTGAGGTTTATACGAATCTAAACTTGATTGAGACGGGCGCATTAACAGCACACAGATAAGTAACTCCACTGGTTTTCTGCTAATGCAATATAATGCTGGAGCACACACAGCAAAGATTGTAACAGTATCTTGACGAAGTTGGTATTCCAAAAATGAACTGACCTGCTCAAAGCTCATACCTTAATCCTATTGAACATATATAGAGCCTTCTCAAAAGATGTGCAAGTCGTCGTATTCCTACTTCAACATGTGAAGAGCTTCGAATGGCTCTTGAGGAATATACCACTTTTACCTAAAGGGGCATCCAAAACGTGATCAGTTCTATGCCAAATGAAAAAAGGAGAGTAATCCACGTAAAACGTGATCAGTTCTATGCCAAATGAAAAAAGGGAGTAATCCAGAAAATGGTGGCAACACATATTTTTAAAAAGTAATACGTACTTGCCTTTTCTTGACTTTATAATTCAATTTTTATAACTGTAACTGTAATGGTTCATCTTTCAATATGTTTATTATTTTCTCAAATTTTGTCTTGTTTTCCATTTGTTACTCGTGATAATGACGGGTTACATGCTACCTGCTAGATGAGTAACTGACTCAATACACAATAATTTTAATGTAATATAAATACTTGAAGCACCCTCTATACACATTTGTAAATGACTTATTTAATCAACCTTTATAAAATGTTACCGATGTTCATGTGTTATTAAACTTTTCTTATTGAATAGGGTAAATAATACTTACTTTTCCTAAGTAAATCATCAATACATTTATTGATGTGTGCCATCCACTCCCCTTTTTCCACAGAAGTTGCAGCATATACAGCAAATGATTTAGAAGCTGTTCTTATTAACCAACCATTTTTATACACTGTAAAAAATCACAAATATTATTGACACGAATAACTTTATCAGAATATTGTAAGAGAAAAAGAAAAACTAATACACCAAAAAGATAAATAGTGTTGTTATCAGTAATAATATCGGAATTTAAAATTGATCTTGAGTAGTATAAAACCTATTACTTGCAACCTTTATAAGCTCTAATGCTGGTAATAGCGAAATTCATTCCATAATTATTGGCCTTATTTCACTCAATATATGATTATATACCAGTTTCATGTAGTCGAATCTTCTGTTTGTGGGCATACATTTATTAGAATATCTCTAACAATTTAATCAATCTATGTTTCCTGATTAAATACTATTTGTTACTAGAAATCTGTCTCTAGTGATTATAAACATTGTTGCTTTTTTTAGTTTTCCCTCTTTAACATCAGTATGATTTTATAATACCTTTAAAAACAGATATTTTTTAACCCTAAGATATCGTTAAAAAGATTTAATAATATTAGTTTTCTGTCCTCCTGAATCGTGAGTTTGATCTCTCCAATTTATTTCAATTTAGTTCTTGTTCACTGATGTTTGATGATTGTAAAATGTACTATAGAAAGTGTTAAAATTATTCAATTTTTCAGTTTTCTTTGATTCCATTATTAAAATATAATTTTACCTTCAGATTTAGTAGGTATGATACACTGATTTGGTTAAATTAACAGAGATCTGCTTTACACTTTTAGGTACATTGAATATATATATATATATATATATATATATATATATATATATATATATATATATATATATATAAAGAATTTTACGTAGTAAAACAGTAAAAACTATTGTACTCAAACACTAATTCAGGATATTCTTCACAAAATGTAGCTAGAGACTCTGGAATTGAATACTGCTAGTCGTCATTTATTTTTATACCTATATGCATACAATATATCATAAATATCTGCCAAATATAAAATTTTGAACGGCTTTTTTCACACAAAAACCTACATGGACACTCTTAGTATCGATATACAAGAGATTTAAAATAACAATACAACTTGACAGTTTGGGTAATTAATTCACCAGTTTACTTTATTCATAGTCCCTAATACAAAAATTAAAGCAAACATTTTATCATGTGATATCGTAATTGTCTCATTTTTAGAAATTCGTTTCTGGCCTTTTCTATTCTAAATTTGACTTCTTGTTCTGAGAGATGGAGATATTCTAAATGGTAGGAGAGATCAAGTCAAACCAATACACACAGAACAAAACTTCGGTATTTTAGCATATATAATGATTAATCCATGTGTCAATAAGGTCCATTGCTGCAGAAACCAGAAAGGCTCCTTAAATGTTACGTGTACACAGTGCTTCTGTACGAACACTGAAGGCGGAAACTCTATCAAAACTTCAGGCTTTTGAGCTATGGTTATACAGAAGAATCCTGAAGATACCATGGACAGACAAAGTCACCAATGAAGAAGTACTGCGGAGGATGAACACAACCCGGATTTGGTCAACATCGTGAAGAGCCGTAAGCTGGAGTACTTGGGACATATAATGAGAAATCAAGGCAGATACGAGCTACTCCAATGCATTTTGCAAGGTAAAATTGAAGGAAAAAGAGCCCCAGGACGAAGAAGAATATCCTGGCTTGCTAACCTGAGAGCATGGTGTAGAAAGACTTCAACACAGCGTATTTCGTATAGCAACCAACAAAATTATCATCAAACACAATTTTGGCATAGTGTTGAGGAAATCTTTTTTATTTGGCAACTAAATTTGAAACAGCAGTTATTTCACCGTAAACTTCCCTTAAGTTGGCTCCAGATTAATTCAATAGGGTTGAAAACACAGTAATAAGGAGGTAATCGCAATATAATATGACCATCACGTTTGGCTAATTCGTCTATAACAAACTGTTTCTCAAATACTTTTGTGTGAAGAACTTCCAACATTTCTTTTTTTGTATATGTTTCTTCAAAGTACAAATCATTTTCATACAAAAAATCCGATATTTGGTTTTTCGTCGAGCCTACACTGGGGATTTTTCTAATTTGTTCGCTGTGTTACGTCGCGTTATCCATTACAATGACACTTTTTGGAGGCAAATTTGGCAACACTTTCTTTTCAAACTATTCCTTAAACAAGTTACTTGTCATATTTCCATGGTAATCCAGCTTTGAATATTTAATGTTTTTTGACGATTCGCTGACCTCTATTAATTGGGTAATTGGGTGCGCACTTAATAGAGTCGTCTGTCCAACCTTTTTGAACAGTATCGTGGGTATCGAACCATGTTTCATCCAGATAAAATATCGGTCTTTCTTCATCTCTAAATTTAGATATAGCATCCAAGTATTCGTTTCTCCAGTTAATAAGTCGAAGGGAATCCATTATTGATGATCGCTTATTAATTTTCTTGTATCGAAAACCAATGTGATTCAAAAACCTTGATAAAGTTGAAGGCGAATACGTAATAGAATAGTCTTTAACAAGTTGATCGTAGATCATACTAAGCGTTTGAACTAGGTTCTTTGAATATAAATTATAAACTGCTCTTCTAATTACCTCAGCGTATTTTTCATTTACTGCTTTATATGTAGAAAAGGCACTCCGCTTTTTACGAGGTTGAATTCTATCTGTAACAATTTTCCACACTGTTGTAAGTATATGGCATCCTTGTCAATCGAGATGTTGCCTTGATGAGAAATTTACCGTCATCTGGATTTGGATTATCTTCTTTTACTGTTTGATAAACATTCCTAATAATTTCTTTGGCATCATCAGATAAATGTAAACGTGTTTTACACTTAGCACTAGCTTCACCGATTCCTGACATTTTACTTGAATAGTCGTGACCTAAGCACCGATCTAAATGCAAGAAAATAACTGCTTGAATGTGCAAATGTCAAACTTAAATTTCCCTTTCATAATGTTTCATACTACGAATCATTGACACAAACAGTGAACAAATACAAAAGCACCTACACAATCATTATAGGCGACTTCAATGCCAAATTAGGGAGAAAACTAGAAGAATCAGAAAATAAAATCGGCAACTTTGGATATGGAACACGAAACGAAAGAGGAGAAACATTAATGAACTAAGTATATGGAAACGAACGGTCTATATGCGACGAATACCTTTTTCAATAAAAAACCACAGAGAAAATGGACTTAGGTCGCACCCAATGGTTTAACAAAAAATGAGATTGATTACATCCTATCCAAAGAAAAGAACATAGTACAAGACGTTACGGTCATAAACATGATTTCCGTAGGAAGTGATCACAGAATTGTTAGAGCCAAAATCAAAATTAACTCCACAACAGACAGACAAAAATTTAAACCATCTAAAAAAGAGATAGATACAGAACTTCTTAAAGAACGCAAAGAACAATACATAAACCAGCTAAAAAGAAGTGACATATCACAGCTAAAGGGTCTGCAACTAGACGAATTAAACGATAAAATAACAACAGAACTACTAGAAGCAGGCCTGAAGATTGCTAATAAACAAAAGCGAAAACAACAAAAAATTAGCGCTAAATCACAAGATATGCTAAAAAAAACGACGACAACTACTGAATGATAACAAAAGAAATACAGTGGAGTATACCGAACTGAACAAAACCATAAGAAAACAGATAAAGGAAGATTTAAAGAAATACCAAGAAGACCGCATTAAGAAAATCATAGAGAAGAACAAAAGTTTAAAAACAATGAAGACAAATATAGGAAAAAGAAAACTAATCATGCTTAAAGCTGAGAACAATGAAGAAAGAGATCTAGGAGAAATAGTAAAAATCACAGAAAGATATTACACAGACCTATACAGTTCTAAAAATGACCCACCACTATCATCTAAACAGAATCTCACGAGGAAAATACAAAATGTTGGCTCAGAGGTATTACCAGAAATAACTGAAGATGAAATCGAAAAATCCATAAACGACATGAAAAGAAATAAAGCGGCCGGTGAGGACAAAATACTGGCGGAACTGCTAAAAGAAGGAGGAGACACGATAAAAAAAATGCTAAAAATACTGTTCAACAAATGTCTGTTTGAAGGTAAAATACCTAAACAATGGAGAAATGCCAACACAATCTTAATACATAAGAAAGGAGACCGAACAGACCTAAACAACTACCGTCCTATTTCCCTTTTGTCACAACTATATAAAACCTTCACAAGAATAATAAACAACCGACTAACCTATAAACTTGATAACTACCAACCAGTGGAACAGGCCGGATTCAGGAAAGGATACAGCACAATCGACCATCTACATGCGCTTAAAATCTTAATTGAGAAAACCAATGAATACAACCTTCCGCTGTACAGCATCGAGATTATGAAAGCTTGACGATGAACACTGGCGTGAAGAAGCTGGTCAATAGTAGAAAGATCAAGACGTCAGTAGACGCGATAGAACAAGCAGCAAAACTGAAATGGAAATGGACTGGACACAATGAACGTCTCCAAGACGGACGATGGAACAATGCCATCGGAAAGTGGCGTCCATACAATGCAAAGAGATCAAGAGGCAGACCACAGATGAGGTGGAAAGATGACATCAGGAAACAAGGAGGTCCCACATGGCAGAGAACAGCTCAAGCTAGGGAAAGATGGAGAGAACTGGGGGAGACCTATATCCAACAATGGAAGGATAGAGAATAGGTTAAAAAAAAATGTTTCATAAATTATGTTTTCTAGATAAATAAACGATACCTGATTATAATGTAACGAAAATTATAATGAATAAGAGGTATACTAATATACTTGTGAAAAGGTATAGTGAAAACGAAAGTGAAAACGACATAAACAGATAATATTCTAACTCCATAAAATTCAAATAATGAGCCCGTTAAACATGAAAATTGTTTGTGATCGTTAATAATAATTGATTACCAGCAACTTAATTTCAGATGAGTAAATCAGATGAGTAATTAAAAGATGACTAATTCGTGAATAGCAAATTTTTTTTAATACGAAGCATTATGTAGAAATGTTAATTTTAACAATTTATTTGCACTGATTGGTAAAGAGTCAGCTCTGTAAATAATATTAGCTCCGATCCTAGCAAGCTGTTCCAAAACTATTGCTACCTGTCGCAAAGACAATTAAGGGATTAATGTTAGCAATGTTACTGTAACGAAAGTATGGAAAAAGCATGGTTACAACAATTTTAAATATTCGAAAACACAGCAGATTTATCCAGATCATTACTCGAAGAATTGAGTTTTGTGAAACTGTAATAACGAAGGCTAATTATGAACCAAATTTTATTAAAAACATTTTATTCACTGATAGGTGTTATTCATTATTATAATACTGCGGTCGACTGGGTCATCCTACCAGCCTCAGTCCAAATTTCTTATATCTTGAACCAAACTATAAGTTAAGTTTTAAATTAGATATACACCTTATAAATGGCAACACTACGAGCCGTCGACTTTCTACGAACCTGCTTTGTTGACCAGTCGCCAGTAATTTGTCTGTAAAAGGTTCAAATAATAAAATGGTTTTATGGTTGTAATTCTGGACAACTGTGTAGATTTATTTTTTGTGTGTTTTTTTTGAGGAGACCAATTTCTTGCGTACAGTCAATTCATATTATTGTTAAAAATGTTGAGAGTTGTTGCCACAAAAATTTCAGAAAATGTTACGCTCAAGAAGTGTCACTAGAAAAAGTTGAGGAAAGATAATACCGGGATACACAAAGTTGTGCAACAATCGAGGTAGATTCAACACGTTTAAGTAGAAGCGTTGCTAGAGAGTTAGATGTTAGCAATGTTACTGTAACGAAAGTACGGAAAAAGCATGGTTACAACAATTTTAAATATTCGAAAACACAGCAGATTTATCCAGATCATTACTCGAAGAATTGAGTTTTGTGAAACTGTAATAACGAAGGCTAATTATGAACCAAATTTTATTAAAAACATTTTATTCACTGATGAATCTTGTTTTGTTAGTAGGGAGACACAATCCTTCCATTATGAGATATTGGGAGCAGGAAACCAGCACAGAAGTGTTGTTAACGGAACTCAACGTCCTCAAAAAGTTAACACGTTGACTGACATTTTAGGAGACCACATAATAGGTCCATTTTTTATTGAGGGCAACTTGAATAGTAGAGTATCAATTCCCGCTGTTCTCAATCTTCCTGATGTAAATCTGGAGAATGTTTGGTTTTATCAAGACGGCTGTTCAGTTCACAAAGCTCAAAATATTAGAGAGTATTTAAACAATACTTTCCCGAATCGAGTTATCAGTGGAACAGGCGATATTAAGTGGCCTGCGCGATCTCCAGATCTTACACCCATGGACTTCTTTTTTGGGGACATTTAAAAAGCATCATCTACGATCATCCTGAGGCTAGAGCCCAAAATTTGGATGAATTAAAAATTGAATAAGAGAAGTTCCAATTGTGTTACAGCAGAGACTCTTTCATCTGCCCGAAGAAGTTTTTATGACAGATTAGGATACTGTTCAGAAGGTGAAATATTGGAATCATTTCTGTAGGGCATAAAGAATTATTTCTTAGTTTATTAGGAATTATTTTTTATTTTCAATAAGAGTATAATATTTGTTTTATCTTTTTAAAGAAATGCGCTTTTATTTTTAATTCAACCACAAAAAATTGTCCACATTATAAAAAACCGATAAAAATGCACCACTTTATAAAGGTCAGTGTATTTTTATCGAGTTTATGTGCTCTAAGAAATAAACCGGGCATACGCAATGAAAACAAACATCGAATTCGAATGACAGAGATGTAAATCCCATCCGTTGTTATGTACTACTAAATAAGTTTCTGTCGTGGTGTCGGAGGAGATCAAGTATTACAAATATCTAGTACGAGGCAATGTTGCCGATTTTAGCGCTTTATGTCATGTACATCTGCAATATGTAATCCAAAATTTAACGTACTATATTAAATATCACCAACAAATAAAAATGTATTAAAATAATTGCATATTAGAGCTATATGGAATTTATTACTTACGAGAATCATCTTCTAGGCTTTCTAATTTTACTTCTTCTAAAGGAATGATATGTTGCTTATTGTATTTCTTTTTATTAATAATAATATTTCCATATACAAGAATATCATTAAATAGGAAAAACTGCCTAGTTTTTGGTTTTTTCCTACACATCTTTGTTAACACACCTTCTCCAACCAGTACCCTACCAGGAACACCTAACGGCTGAAATAAGATTTATATTTGTTAAATATTTACAGTTTCAAATTGATTATTTTTTGCAGTTGATGCAACTTGAAGTCCAGTGTATTACAAACTAATACATGTAATAATGCATGCTTAAAACTATAGTTGAGTCACATAATATAAAAAGTTATAAGTCGAAGAACTTAACATATATGACTTTTCAGGATTAAATAAATTCAATTACATTTACGAAGGACCTGGTTCCGTCAATAGACGAAGAGCTGATACACAAGTCTGAATATCTAAATAAACTACAATTATATTTGATTAAAAATATGTTATATTTGAAGTTTCGATTTTCTATTCCAATTATATTTTGGGGGTTTTAAATATAAACGGAGGTTTATTTCGAAAAAATAGTAGTTAGTAGAATAAATAACTATAATTAACTATTACTTAAACAATATAAAATAATTATTGAAGATCACTATTATTAAATTTTCATATTAGTATAGAAGACGTTCATATAAGTATATAAAAAATAGAAGTATTGTGTGAGTTATATATAATCGACATACATTTTATAATGAGGCTAAATATGACAACAGATAAATTATATTTGTAAAAAATTAATTATACAGTTCATAAATTTGGTTTTCATTATTTTTTAATGGAAGTTTTTTAACAATATTTTTTCAAATTCTTAAAGCAATTTAACGTAGAAATAAATACAGTTTCATTAAATTTGAAATTTATTTTGGGTGGTATTTGTTTAGGTACTATTATCTTCATTAATATACAGGGTGTCCAAGATGTTTTTAACAGCCTATAATTCAGGAAGTAATGAAAATTTTTATTTGAAAAGAAGAAAATGTCAATTGGACCTATAACACTACAGATTGATGTATACATGACACCTGTGACATTATCACGGGTGCTGTGACGTAATAATAATGGAAAAAATTTAATGGATCATGGGGTGAAGGTTGGGACAAACGAAAGGCTTTTTTAATCACAAATTCAAGGGTGTACCGCAATAAGGGTATTCATAAATACGCTGAAATTAAATGGAGCATTTATCAACGTCAAATTAACCTGAAACTAGCACATTTTTAGTTTTAGTTTTTCCAAATTCACAAGAAAAGTAAGTTGACCTTGAGATTTTATGTAAATCGATTTTTGCAACTACAATTAGTACCTAACAGCTAATGTCGTTTCTTGTGTTCACTTACTCTTATGTTGAATTTTAAAGTATCATGAGTTCATATAATAGTAAAAATGCCTTTCATATTCACACCTAATGAATACATAGATATGTTGCTAATTTATGGTGAATGTAAGAAAAATGCTCAAGGAACATGAAACGCTTTCCCAAAAGAAAAACACTGCCTTATGTAACTTTTGCTATGATGAGAAGATGCACCAAACTTCATTTCCGAATGGTAAACATAGAGACCATGTCAAACCAATACAGACTGAACAAAACTTGGTAAATGTTTTAGCAAATGTAACGATTAATTCACATGTGTCCATTGCTGCAGAAACTGGTGCCTTCAACTACAATTCAAAGGATTTTAAAAAACCACCATTACCATTCATGTAAACTGTATTTGGTCCATGAATTGCGATCGTCCAATTTGGATTGAAGACTAACCTCCATCTCCATAATGCAAGTGATGATGCAAAACACTCATGCCTTTTTAACTGAAATTTTGTGGAGAGATGAAGCTAATTTCCATAATATTAGGATTTTAAATCGCCAGAACTCCCATTATTGGTCAGTGGAAAATCGGAACCAATAAATAAAGCTTGCTTTTAAACTAGATGGGGAATAAATGTTTAGTGTAAATTATTTAATGGGCATTTAACAGGTTCTTGTTTTTAAGAATATTGAATGGTCAGAGATATCTGAATTTTCTGAAAAATGGGCTAGTTACCATTGTTATTGGAGAATATTCCTTTGCATGATTTATTAAATTGAATTATTGTAACTAGAAATCCTTGTATATATATCATCAATCATCATCATTTTGCGTTTATATTGGATGGAGAAAGTTAGGAAGGGAGGAACTTATTCAAGCACTTAAAAAAATAAAGAAAAGTAAAGCTGTTGGATCAGATGATACCCTGGGGTAAGTGTGGACAGCTTCAGGAGGGATATAACAAGTTGGTTCGTTTAATAGAATTATGGATGAAGGACAACTGTGGAAGTATAAAAGTACCTGTTTAAAAAACAAGGGAGATATACAACACTCTAAAAACTACAGATACATGAATTGTATTTTGAGAATGATTTTTGAAGTGGAAATTGAAACTTCAATAAATGTAATTTAACCATTAATTGTGGCTTATTCTCATTTAAATAGTAATTAACTATTGCAAATAGTACCGCCGTCTCTACTTAGTGTGTCTCGGACTGTCTTTTCCAAGGCAATACTATATAGGAGGCGTGCCAGGGCATCCCCTTGTCTGAGTCCATCCTTTATTTCAGAGGATCGAGACTCTGTATCGTAACTCTAGTTTTTAAAGAATATTTGCTAGTATTTTATAAGCATTTATTAACAGGGTTATATCTATGTAGTTGTCAAACTGGAGCTGATCATATTTTTTAGGTAAAGGGCATATCACGCCCTGAGACCATTTACAGGGCATGGTCTCATTTTGCCGGACAAGAAGTAAAAGTTTATGCAGTGCTTGTAGCAGGGTGTCGCCACTATTCTTGTAGAGCTCACTACAAATTTGGTCAGTTCCTGGTGCTTTATTATTTTTAAGCTTTGTAACGACTTGGGCAACCTCTTCAGTAGTCATTCGTCTTTCGTTTGGGTTGAATAGATTCCAATCATTTTGATCTGCTACAGTGTTATCGGCTTCTTTGATATAATGGCCATTAAATTTTGTGTTGAAAAATTCAACCCATTGGTTCAAGGTTGAGGCCGTATCACTTACGATATTTCTTTCTCCATCCTTACAGCTCTCTATTCTTGGCTTAAACTCTTTACTCATTTTGTTTATATTTTCTTACAACTTTCAAGTTTCATTTTGATTTCTTAGCCATTCTGTTTTCTAACTGCTTTTCTTCAAATTGCTTTTTTTTCTTCTATGTAATCTTTTTTCTTCCTCTTAGAATCTGGTATTCCTCCTTTTCTCTTTTCGTTTATCTAGCTTGATTTGTCTTAGGTATGCTTTATTTTTGTTTTCTGTTCTACTTTTCACTCCTCATCAAACCATTTGTTTTGTTTATCTCGTTCTTCCCAATATTTCCGATGCCTTCTCAGTTTTTATATTTCTACATTTGGTCACATTTCCTCCACATTTCCCCCGCTTCCAGCTCTCTATTTCCTCATCCATTTGTCTCCTATACTTTCTTGCAGTGGTTTCAATGTGCAGATTATCAACATTAATTCTGTTTTGTTTTATATGTTTATCCTTCTTTAGGTTTGATATTTTTCCTCTAGTGGTCACTATCTAGGTTTGACCTCAGTAGCTTCCGACATCAATGAGGTCGGAATAATGCCTTGCAAAGTCAATATGGCAAATATATTAACCAGATGACAGTCAGACACAAACTATTAATTACTTCAACCAATGTATATTAAGAATGGAAGTTTTGTAAAAAACTTGGGACTGCACTAGATGTTAAAAATTATGTCCTAAGACTGACAATGAAGAGTTCCCCTTTTATGACAAAAACAAACATTAATTACTATTTAACTGGGAATAAGCCACAATTAAAGATAAAAATATGTTTATTGACATTTCAATTTCCACTTCGGAAATCCGAAGTGGAAATTGAAATGTCAATAAACATATTTTTATTTTAATTGTGGCTTATTCCCAGTTAAATAGTAATTAATTTACAATGCCACAAGAAAATAGCTTCAGAACAATATAAAGACAAACATCTTACTAAATACTAGTCACATAACTATACCTGGACATAGTAAGAAAATTCTAATGATCATACTAAATGAATACCATAGAGGACAAATTCTAAGGATGGTTATAGGTGTGAACTATCTAGTGTTTTCAAAGGCAAAATAAAAAAAGAGTTGGAGATGTCATTCCTGAGTGTTATAAACTTAAAGGAAACTACAATCCAGTAGAGTAGAAGAACTTTAGATGAGTATACTTAATGTAGGGTATTAAGTTATTTCTAATTTTATTTAGAGTGACTTATTTAAAAAAATTATTTAATGTTACAGTCAATATCCACAGCAATGTTACATTATTTATGAAAAAATTCCCAATATGGTTTTCAAATTATATACAATAGTTATATAAGTTCTGTGATGAATAAATAGGGGTAAAAGTTTGAATAGGCAGTGTTATCAGGACTCTGTTCATCTAACTGAAATATCACTTTGTAATAACCAAAATAATTTTTGGAAATTTGTAAACTCAAAAAAAGTTTACATAGAAAATTTCTCCTCAGAAAACAGCATACTCAATATGTTTTCAGATTAGTTTTCAAAAATGTATAGCAGTAAAACATGAAATTTACAGACCCATAACATTATGGGTATATAAATTGACTAGTAAGGCAATTGATAGCTTCTAAACAGATATATATCTATATCTGACAATACTACTAAATTATCACAGCTTGGCACATGTAAAATGAATAGTCCAGATAATTATCATCTTATTCAAAATGCAGTAGTTTTCTTTTGATAATATTCAACTTTATTTAAATTTATGTGTGTTTCCAGCTTACTCCAAAACAATTGGTATTATTGCTGGCTGATCCATGTAATTAAACATTCATATTTAAGAATTTTATATCAGAGACTTTGAAAGAGGGGTATCAAGTAACTGCAATATACATTGATTTATACACACTCTTGAGTAAAGACAAAAACAAAGACTTAGTCTGTTCTTCACGCCAAAAGCTCATGCCCACAACTTTTTCATAAAGTTGATCTCCATTTACAACCATGACACACTTGGTAGGTGGTTATATTCTACATAATTTAACATATAGAACTGACTACTATTACAGCCCATTTCTATCTAGAATTGCAAGACATGACACTATTTATTATATAATGTTATATATAACTGCTTTTAACTGTGTTACTTTATGCTTTAAAGTGTCTTTATAACTAGTTTACTGTCATATTGTCAACCTATTTTGCATTAAATGCAAAATAGATATGAATATTTGCATTACTGTAACCTATTGGGCACTTACTTGTGGAATAACACTACTTGTTGCATATTGAGTTTGCATGATAAAGTGAGTGCATACTGTGGGAATAAGGTCCTAATGGGATTTCTTAACTTTTGAAAAAAATGTTACAAATATATTTGAATTGACAATTTACAGAACATTTTATCTTCATATTAATACATTAGTAAGGGTAGTTTTATCTCTTTGTAATTGTTTAATCATATATTTTACTTCCATGAGTATGTGCCTTCATTGTGGCATTTAAGTGAATATAGAGATATTAAGGAGTGTTTTATGAACTATTGTAAGTTTGTATTTGTGTTGTTCCCCTAAAGGTGGAATATTTTGTGTATTAATTTCAGCTTAAAAAGAAAGTTGCTTACCTGGCCAGAACTTCCAAAACAACTCTCAACCATATTTATTCTGCGAGCATTAGCTTCACTATTAACTACAACAGACATGATTGTTAAATAGTAAATTATTAGGTAAATGAATACAATAATCTTAATAATGACAGTAGTGATGATTCATATCAGTTTTATTCTGATTTCTATGTGTAATAGGCACTGCAACAACTCTCTTCTTCTTCAAAAGTAGATCATACAGTATTAAACAGAGCATAAACCACTGCACTTTGATGACTTAAAAGTGGCCTTATAAGGTGACTTTAATCTTTAAAATTATTCCAATTTATGAAATTAGAAAAGGTATATATATAATAATTATATCAATTTGGCAACATATATATTTCTAAAATTTTACCTAATTTATCAACCATTTTCACTTTCCTTTCTCTCAAACCAAACTTAAAAAAAATTAAGAAAAAAGTGAAAACACCTAGTAAAAAATTATGCTATTCTATCCTATCCGTCAAAATCATCAAAATAAGGTTTGTTCATTTAAAGAGATTGACATTTGTCATTGTCATTTAAAAGATTAGTCAGCGAACAGAGCAATTTGTAGACAGGACCATGACAGGACGCGCGACGCCCAAGGTAAATGTAAAGAGCTTCGCTATACTATTTGTGTGACGTCACACCGAGTTTTTATATTCCCTACATTCAACAAAACAAACCGAATAAATATGAATAGAAAAAAAATCTTCATAGAATTTTATTTTATAAAGTTTAGGAACTATAGATTATTTCTTAGTTTACTTTTGCTAACCATGCTACTGGCACAGAATAATAAACAATCACAATGCCCACGTGCTCTCGTTCAGAATTTCGTTCGCGCAGACGGAATCAGCCATGTTTTAGTCGGAACCAGTGCTGTTCAGTGACATTTTATCTCGTGTACATACACAAAATAACCCGGTTTAATTTATTTAGGGCAACTACAGACATAATATGCACTATTTTATTCGTACTTTTAGTTGAAGAATAGATTAAATTATTTCAAATGTATTAAATTGTTAATCTCTTAAAATGTAAATTACAGTTCTGTCGTAGCTTGTTACAACTTTATCAATTCGAGTCCATATTTCCGTCTAAAACATGGCGTTTGCGTGCTGACAAACTTCAAAGGCGGCATCTGAGACTGGGCATTCTGATTGTTTATTATTTTGTGCTACTGGTATCGGTACCAATATGAATAACTGCCATTATTTCTATGCAAGTTCGGCTACCCTGTTAACATTTCTTAATTATAATACTTAAATTATATACGTAAGTATTAAGTAGGTAATTACCTACTGGTCATATCTTAACAAGATTTATCATATTTATTTTGTTTAAAGAATTAAGCAAATCCGACATTTCCGTGCGCAGAAGGAAATGTTAAATAATTAAAGCTAAAACAACAAGTCACGCGTCTTCTGTTTTTATATTCTTTGCAGTTATATTCATGATACTATGACTATAGTTATAATAGTCGTTGACTTTGACGTAAGTCCATCGAGAACACGAGAGCTTAATTTCCCGACTCAGCACCCCCCACTACTGTTTATATGTGCACGGATTTAACGAATGGCGGGAAGTTTGAAATATATGGTATCAATTAGGACCGGTAGTTCGAACGCTAATCAAAACTTGAATTTGCAAATACATCAAAGCTGTTGTCAAAATTGCTTATTATTATTATTAATTTGTAAATAAAAACATGAAATTAACATCAGAAAGAGTTTAATTATGGTTTATTTTAAATTAAAAAGCAAAATCATACAGTTGAATAAATCAGTCAACATAACCTCAAAATGTTTCCTATTTGATTTTAATTAAATATTTGAGTTTTAATTAGCGTTCGAACAATCGGTCCTTATTGTATTAAACTTTTGTTTTTTTTTATTCCTATACATACTTTGGTAACACAATCTATATCTATATTTTTTACAGAAATAATTATAAATACTAATTTAATATTTTAATAATAATTTTTATTTAGAAAACTGTAAATAATAACACCTGCTACATTTAATCATTATTTTAGTTTGTAAAAAAACTTAAAAAAATTTACAATATAATATTGATTGGTATAATATACTTCGTTTACGCTTGTACAGAACAGATATGAGGTAAATAGTCATATTTTTTAGAAGAAAATATTACAATGTATAGACTGTGTTTACAGTCTTGCGATTCTATTTTTAAGTGGTGTTGTCAGCAATAACGGTATTTGTAGAATAGTGGATGATCAAATTTGGTTCCTTTCTCAAATACAGGCCATTGAAGTTTCCAAAAATTTAGATTTTTTTTGTAATATCTCTTTAGCGCATTAGAATATTCAAATGAAATTTGAATAATCTAAATAAGTTACATAGATTCGGGATATGTGGTTTATAATTTAAAGAAAAATTTCAGTACGCCTCTGTAATATGCAATTTCCAAAACCATTTTTTGTAAGTAAATTCTATTTAAAACAACCTTTCGAATTTTCTTTATATCTCTTATAACAAAACTTGTAGTAGCTGTACAATCAATCCATAAATAATGCTTACCAAATTTCATAAGAATATTCTTGTGTTATTAGATGACATACCATTATTTTTTGATGAACTATTACCTTTAAAAAAAATCACAAGACTGTAAACACCCTGTATAATATACAGGGTATACAATGTATATGTACCACAACATTTTACAGTTGTTTCCAATTTAGGGAAAGGTGAAATAAATACAAGATGCATGTACTATATATAGGGTGACCATAATTTTTCAACAAAAAAAAAGTACATTTATAATTTTTAAGAAAATATGTACACTGTTAGTGCCCTAGGAAATTTTTCTGGTCAAAATTTTACGAATCTTTAATTAAACAATGATAAGAACGATTTTTTTTAATCAAACATAAGTACATAAAAAATGTATGATAAATTTTAATAGTTAATTTTCTTTCGACGTTCCTTCCTGAACATCTTGATCATCATTTTGGTACCAGTCGTACTTTTTGGAACTATGAATTTCCTTCAGAAGTTGTGGTTTACTCTTTAAGAACTGAAACATTTCATTGCACGAAACTTTGAAGTTTGTGTAGACTTGCATGATGGCTTTCAGAGTAGATGTTTTCAACTGCAATTTGTTGGGACTCCAATAGTTATTGATATTGGAGAACAACCGCTCCATCGACGCACTGGTCCCAGGCAGACAAAAAACAAACTCACATAGAATTTTGAGATTTTTCAAAGCACTTTCTTTTTGGAAGATTTCGAGCCATCGATCTTTGGTAGAAATATTTTTCGAATTCCAGTCTGCGATTTTATCTTCTGTAACGTAGGTTCGTATTAGACTAACTTTATCAAACAGTTCGTCCTGATTCAATATCGGACCTATGTAGTCTTTGAAAGCCTCACACGACGATCAAATTTCAGCCCAAGAAACTTGTTTTTTCAAGTTAACCCATCCGAATAGCTTTAGTTCACTTAAATTTTCACTCCAGTTTTTCAAATATGTTACACAATTTGAATAGAACTGCTTGACATGCGTGATAAAGATATCACGATAGTTCACACTAAGGTCAAGGTCTTCCATATTTTCAAGTTTTGAAAGTGACTCTCTTACTTTAAGCGGTAAAAATAACTCATTTAAGCGATTTTGAAACTTATTTATGAGTTCGAAATACTCCAAAGCGGCTTCCGTTGCGCATATTTTGTCACCTTCTACATCTAAAATCACTTTGTGGAAGAGAGACGCAATGTTATGCACAAACCACATCCATGCTTCACTGATTGGGTTTTGAAAAAACTGTTTTAGAACTGTTGGACAATTATCAATCGATAAAAAATATGCTTTCAAGGGTTCGAACATTTGTATAATTCGTTCAATGGCTGGCATTAGGCTCAAAAATCTTGTTCTTGAAAGCGACAACATTTTTTGTACTCGATATCAACAAAATCGCAAAACTGTTTAGTTTCTCCACTCTGACTGTAAAAATATAGAAATGCTTAAAAATCTTGACCACAATAACCTCGAAGTCTATGGGTAAGAGGTCCGTCGCATTTTGTAAACAGTTATTAAAAATGTGTGCCACACAACCAATTCCAATCACGGGTTTACCACGAGAAGCATTTAATTTGCTGAATAGATGGTTCACTCCTTTTCTTCTCATTCCACCAAAATTTGTATTTGTATTATCAGCAGACATTCCGATGCATTTTTGTAGTAGATTATGGTGATTCAAAACATTGACCACGTAATCTTTTAACTGCTCTGATGTTTCACCAGGTAAGTCACGTAGCTGAAGTAATTTTACTTGTACACCATTTTCTCCATCAAAATATCTTACCATTAAGGGCACAACTTTAATTTCTCTATGATTCGACGAATCGATTGTGATGCTGACGAAATTTGCTTTTCGAAGGTCAATTTCTAATTGGGACTGAGCCTCTTGAGCTAAAACATTTTTTACAATCGCCTCAGTCTTGGTTCGAGCTGCCGCAAATTTAGGTTCAAACATGCTTACAATTAGTTTTGACGTGCAGTCTAAGGAACTGAAACTTTGCAAATGCTTAATTGTATGGTAAGCAAAAGTACCTTCCTTGGCAGCAATCAACATATTTTTAAAACTTAAATTTTCTTTTTAACAAAGGTTTCCAATTTGCTGCTCTTCGAGTTCGCATTAGCAGCCAACATGTGTTTTTTCTTTGACAAATGTTGTTTGATATTACTGCGACCACTGTTAGAAATATCTACATCACTTTTACAAACTTGGCAAAACACAATATGCGGTGAAACATTTGATTTTTGTTTCATAAAAGGATACTCTGCTTGCAACTCGACGTTAAAATGGCATTTTCTTCTAGGCGGTGACATGATGAAATTGTTTATTTTTCCACACAGCACAAAAAAATATAAAAAACGAGAAAAACTGCCGGAATTTAAGACAAAAGGTTAATAGACTAATCAACAGTGAGCGCACAAGTAACAAATAAACATAAACATACGACGAGATATATATTTTTACTAAATAAATAAGATAATAATAAGATCTTGCTGCGAAATGAAATCGCCGATCGATTGGTGCTAAAGATAGGAGATTCTGATTCTTCCGCAAAAGATCGATTCTTGAATCAATTCGAATCATAATTATATTTTGTTTGGACAAAAAGTAGGACCTAATTTTGTGTAATTAAGAAAAAGAGTACATTTAGGTGTACTTCATAAATTTTAAAGTACAATAGGACAGCGTTTGAAAAGAAAGTACTGTCCTACTTAAAAAAGTACATATGGTGACCCTAACTATATAACAATTAAGTATTTTAATTTTTATTTAAATAGTACAGTCAGTGTACTATTTATTTATTTAATACACGGGATAACCCCATTAACAGTTTAAATTACAATATACAATATCACAGTTAGGATTCAAAACTTGAAATTGCTATATAAAATCAATATTAAAAAGTTTAAAAAAATGAGACTAAAAATCTTACATACTAAAAAACA